TCTCGCTGCGTAAGTGTACTTGACGAACTTTCTTTGGGAGTACTAGAAGTATTCCCGAAGAAGGTCGTCGAGTACAAAACACAATGGCTCAAATTATGATAGTATTAGTTCTGAAAGTGGAAGAGTTACAGTACTTCTCTTCCACTTTCAGAACCAATACTTTCAAAATTTGAGCCCATGGAATCGCATTTTTCCAAATTTGTGATATGAACCGATTTTGTGTGAATTGGACTTTTTCGATGTGACGAAACCCTGCACTCCATTGACAGGCAGTTTCTCGAGGTCCCCCTACCTCGATCATCCAAACTGACCCCACCCCCCCAACTTTTATGGAGTTTCGTTGCCCAGTCTCTGACGTCACTTTCATCACTTTCAACGAACGGCACTTTCTATACTTCAACATACAAAACCTAGTCATTCCCAATCAGTCCGTATCGCGCTACAAAGGCGGCGGCGCTTGCCCGACGGATCGATAGCGACGATGGCGATGACGTCAGCCCTGCAACTCCAAGACAAACTCGACACCTACGGCGCAATTCGAATATCGTCTAGTCCAGCGAAGCCGCCGCTTCCCAGGGACAGGCCACGTCCGTCTATCGCGTCGTCGACATCGTCGGCGGCATCATCTCCGTTCACCAGGTCGCCGTATAATACGACGCCGAAGCGTAATATCTTGCGCAAGGGAAGTAGCGTCGAATTTGCACCACATCACCTCGACGACGACGCGAATGGAGAGGAGAAACAGCGGCGGGAGTGCCGGCGCCTATCCATGCGCGAGAAACAAGAATTGTACAAAATCCGACCAGACTTGGAGATTGGGGCGCCGCTTGCCGTAAAGTCCTTGATCGAAGAACAAAACGACCGGCGCCGAAAAGTTGCGTGCTCTCTTCTTGCCGGTGTCGGCTGCATCTTGATGCTCATACTGTTTTACTACTTTATCGCGTGGAACATGCGCGACGACCCCGACTTCCAGTAACTTAATATCGATCTACGATGACCCTTCACCCACGTTGAGGGAGGAACAACGCGAACTATTGTTGTTCGTACAGGAACACAGGACATCGAGGCAGCGTCTACCCGCAATTGCTCACGGGAATCCTGGGCTATCCATCCCTTGGTCAGCTGTATACGGTAAGCGCGGGAGCATTAGCACTTAATAGACTCACTGGCGCTGCGATGTGGCAGGAATGTTGAAATGCCGCCACCACGCGCGCCGCACGCGCGTACTGCACCACCGTGCAAAGACGCGGTCTTTGGAGGATAATGCATGGTTGATTTTTCGAACATGTTCAGTTTTCCTTGATAAATGAATTTCAAAACCTCATGCGGGTCGCCGTCTCCGCCTGCATTGTTAGTAATACTACACCGTCGCGCTCCATACTCGTTTGATATTGGCTCGAAAGGAAAGATATCGGCGCCTCCTCAAGATCATCAATGCCAGCGACTGTGGGCATCCGTGTGGGGTCCAAGATGCCAAAGATGATCGGCACGACCCAAATGGGCTCAATCAAGCTGCATGACTACATTGACGGTGCATGGACTCTGCTTCTGACCTTTCCGCAGGACTTTCATCCTGTCTGGGCCACGGTGTGTGCGTGACTATGAAGGACAACATTCAGCTGGGTTGTAGGAACTTGGGATGCTCACCAAGCTAAAACCCCAGTTTGACGCACGGAATTGCCGCGTCTTGGGGTTGAGTATTGGGTCTTGTAAGGTGGATACCCCATTGATTAGTTGACCGATGGATGGCTGGTTTTGTAGTGAAACAACAAGCACGGTTCCTCGACGATGTCAACGAAACCCAGGACGTCCAGGTGAATTTTCCCATTTTCGCCGACGAAGCGGGGGATCTATCGCGAACGCTGGGCCTCGTCGCACCGTCGGCACCCATGAATGGGTCGGAGCACTTTCGACTGCCCTACAGCGCCGCCTTCATCGTGGACATTGACATGGTAGTGCAATTTGTGTTTCATTACCCTGTCACAATTGGCCGCAACTTGTACGAGGTGGGCACAAAGCAATTCAATGGATAGTCTTCACGTGTCGACCAGTTTATCCGCGTATTGGACGGTCTGCAGCTGACGGCGTACAACCCAGTTGTGTTACCGACAAACTGGAAAGTCAACGACGATGTGTTTATCGAGCCAGACATCACATCCGACGCAGCCAAAGCTCTCTTTCCCCATGGATTTCACGAAATCAAGCCGTATATTCGAGTCACGCCGTCCCCGAACATCACAGACGATTCATGACACGCCTGTGCGGGCAATTATGTAGTATATTTGGTCTGTGGCATTACTTGATATTACATCATCTATCGCTGTTCGTTTGATCCGTTGCCCGCAGATGGGGTGGACGACGCAGCAATATTGGTCACGATGGAAGGATCGTGGGGGCGAGGGAGGTTGAGGTGAAATTGCGGCTGGGGTGGCAATTGACTGGTATATCGAGGGGGCGCGAGATGCAGCACTGGTTGCTCTTGCCTCGCCACCACGCTACGCTGAAGAGCTTCCACGCGGGCGGCTGCCGCCGCGGCATTCAATGCCGCAGCAGCTGCTTCTTCTTGGGCTTCTCGTAAATGCGCTGCTTCCTTGTCCATGGCAAGTCTTGAGTGGTCGTAGTAGCGACTGCCAGGATGTTGCTGCTGGTCCATCGTTGCCAAATTCGGATTGTTGCTCCACGAATCTTCCATGGGCCGATGGCTGTAGATGGGAACGTTGTGTCTAGCAGAATGCATGGGCTGAATAGGTTGGAGCATGGACTGCGGCATGGGTTGAATCGGTTGGTGGATCGACATGGACGACGCCGACGAGGACGACGTTTGCAGGGGCTGAAGTTGGGAATGATGAAGCATCGTTTGTTGCACCGGTTGAATGGGTTGGTGGTGTGGATGGTGGTACGACGGAATGGGCATTTGACCATCTTGCATGCTGCTACTGTGGGTGGTAGGATCGTGGTACAGCGGGTGTCGGTGAGAATGCATGGGATGGTACATCGTAGTGCTGAACGTTGAGGGTGGTCGAAGGTGCGACGGTGGGGGAGGGTTGTAAGGCAGCTTTGGCTGAGACGCGTGCATGGTGACAGGCGACGACTCGCACTGTCGATTGAGAATACTCGACATGGACGACCGACTGATCGATGTCGGGGCAGATGCGATGACAATGGGGGTCGACGCAGACGGTGACGAGGAGTACTGAGGACTCCCGAGGCTTTCGTTCAAGATGGAAGAGAACGACATGCGGCTTGACGCGCTTTGCACGGGAGCGGCAGGGGGCTCGATGGGCGGGAGGTTAGGTGGCTATTCAGAATAATTGCAAAACTTGAAGAGAATTTTATTGAAGTTGAGTAGACTTACCTGGTCCCCTTGCGCCCGAGCTGCCAAGAGCAGTTGTTGATCGGTGGACCCCATTGGCGCTTTGGATTCTTCCTTGTAGCGTTCGTAGTATCTACATTCAAACTGTGTGATGTTGCGATCGTGGTCAGCAGGAATATGTTTGACGAACTGGGGCTGATTCAATCGAGGTATTCCGAACGAATGCTGACCCTGCATCGCGCTGTTGTTGGAGCTTTCTTGAACACTTTGCTGATACATTTGCATTTGCAGCATCTGGACTTGTTGTTGGAGACTGTATTGCAGCAGCTTCAGCTGTGATCCAGGTGCCGAGTTTGGAATTGACGGAGTATTCTGACCACCCATCGACGTTGTAGTGTTGGTGGGCAATTGCTGCATCTGTATCCGGGAGAGTTCTTTTTGCAGCTGGATAAGTCGATGTTGCGCGGCATTCATGGACGTAGGGACAGCAGGAGGAAATTCTTGAGGGACTTGAATCGAAATCGGAAACGAAAACGCAGAGGGCGGCTGGGGTCGTGCTGCAGTATGAGATGGTGAGTTGGTAGATGGCGTCGGCGACTTTTGGAGATGACTCAGAGGGGTATTGCTGCCAGAGCTGGGACCACGGTCTGGTCGCTTCTTCAGAACGTCCTATACAGTTGCATGGGGCTGGTCACAAGTGCGAGACAAGTACCTGTAGACCAAGCCGATTCTTGTAATTTTGGTAATAGTTTTTGATTTGGGCAGCCGTTTTGCTTGGAATGCTGTTTGTGAGAGCAGCCCAGTCTTTCCCGTACACCTAGAAATATGAAATGTGAATTACAATTTTCGCCCTCGGTGGGTGCGAAAGAAATTGTACCGAGAAAAACTTGAGAAAGTCCGACTTTTCCTGCTCTGTCCACTTCTGGACAACTCGCTTGCCAGGAGGTAAACTACTTAGCGTCGTCGAGTTGAGAAATAGAGACGACGACATGGACGGAGGAGGGGTCGTTCGGGGGGTAAGTGGCACAGGCGATGGTGCAAACAATGGAGGTGCGTTGACCACAGGCATGGGAAGAGGGATGAGTAGTGGTTGGGGGACTTCTGGGGACTCTATTGGTTGTAACTCGTCCTTGGACTCTTTCGACGAGCCAGGAGATGACAACGGTGGCACTTCGTCGTCGGCCTTTTTCAAAGTTGTAGGACGATTGTTCTTCGCCTTTTTCGCTGCACCCTTGACAAGTACAGGGCGCGGTGTGGTTGGTTTGCGTCTGGATGCGACCGGGGAAGCCGTGGCCGCATCAATGGAGTCTTTGTCGATCTTGGCCTTTTTAGTCGGGGGCATGGACACGGGTGGGGTCGATACCTCGGGGGGGTCCGGGTGGTAGTCGGCCGACGCGCGAAATTCGTCAAAGCGACTACGCACCGACCTCAACGTCAATTTGTACCCGGTCGTGAATAGGTTGTCGTCCAAAAAGTCGGTTAAGTCTAACACAATTGGCGAATCGTTGGCTTCCTCGTCGTCCGGCTTGGCCGTGACGTCTTTTGAGATCGATGCTGCTTGCAAAATTGATTGGGCGGCTTGGTGTGATCGAAACTTGGACTGTTGGAGTAAACTGGATTGAATCGCGGGGGGGAACTTGACCCCGAGTGCCATGGCAGCACATAGACTCAGCTGCCAGCAGTTCCACGTGTTTTTGATACCCGCACCGCGTCGGCGCAGCTGCTGCTCTCGAATGATGGCCTTGTAATCGAGTACTTTCTTCGTTTGGTAGTAGAATGAAATCACGTCGCCGGTGGTTTTGTTTTGCAAAAAGCTCGCGATACGGAAAAAATTCTTCGGGGTTTGGAGAAATTTGTCGATGAAAATGCACTTTTCAATGTCACTCCATGGATTCATCAGTTGGGCAGCGTTCAAATAATGGAGACCATCTAGGTGTCCGTCGTCGTTTGCCTCCATCCCGGTCAAAAGCGGCCTTGGAAGCGGAATAAACCGCTTGACTTTGACGAGTTCCTTGTCAACAATCATATCAGGGATGATGTATGGACTGTTGCTTGATCCCGATGACAGCATTGCGTTCTTCAGCCTACATTCGTCCACAACATGAGATGTGTGTCTATCATCATGTGAAGAATAAGCGTACGCTTGGACACAAGGTCGAAAACACCCCACAATACATATGTCCATCGCGACGATTCGTACCGTTTTCGTTTGACTTCAAGCTCCCATAATTCGGCTTGCTTTTCTTTCTCGACGTCGGCAATCTGCTTTAACATGGACATTTGCGTGTGCTGCGTTGCCGAATTGTTTGTCAGTCGGGACGACGACCGCAGATAGTTGATCTGCTGCGAGTCGTTCGCCGACGACGCATGCCCCTTTTCATCCACAGACGACGACTTGTCCAGGTCATCGCCCCCGCGGCCTGTCGACCATTCCTTTTGACGTAATTTCGTGCGTTTTTCTTGTTTCTTGCGATCTTTCTCGAGTTTCTTGACCTTAGCCCGCCACGCCTTCTTCAGCACACCATACTCTGTTGCAAGGGCCTTCATTTCTGCGTAATGAGCCTGTTTGTGCTTACGCACACGTAGCATCATGCGGTCATGTAACACGCGACCACGAACGAGCGTGTTTTCGTATCCAGGGCAATCGACTGGCCGCATGTACTGCACCGTTTCCTTTCCAAGAGGCTCGATCAGGGCATGGGCGTATGTGGCCTTGAGTTTGTTTTCCTCCATGAGCGAATTCACCATTGCCATCAGTTTTGGATCTACCAGTACAGGTCGGGTCTTCTTGGACGGACTCACATCTACTGGTGCGGCTTCGGAAACAGACGTCTCGTTCGTTAGCGACAACTGCGCGTCGATGACTTTCTTGGCACAAGTCAACTTGGACTGGATGTCGGCAATTTCAGCGTCCAGCTGGTCGATCGACGACAAGATTTGCTCTTTAGGTTTGGTTTGTGACGGCACTTCCAAAACAGCAACGGAAGCGACAGCGATGGGTTCTTCATCGATCTCCATGTCCACAGGATCGGGTGTTTGGCAGGCCACCGGCAATGCAGACTGCACCTCTTCCGCGGATTTCGGTTCAGGGGGGCTTATCCCATCAGTTGCGTTGGGCATGACAACTTTGTCAAGATTTACTTGCGCGGACGGTGGGGTGGACACAGCAGGTAGCTGATCGCTTTGGGCTTTCGGTGAAGGAACTTGGGTCACGACCAGTCCCATACCCCAACCCATTCGAGGTCGTTTCACTGTCGTAGCCGTTGTTGCAGTTGCTGCCCCTGCATTCGGCGAGGATGCTGCCGCCAGTCCTTGGCCCCATCCTAGCCGAGGTCGCTGTTTTATCGAAAAGGATGAACTTTCGTCACCTGCTTCTTTCGGTTTTGGTGGTTCCAGTATCGTTTCTTCCAGACGAGCCACTGAAGCCTCCGCCTCGATAACTTCGTCGATGCTCTTACGACGGACACTGGTTGCGATGCATTTGTCTTCGCCATCTATGGACCGACGTCGTTGGTTGGGGGGGGCATGAGGCTTGGACGGACTGCTTCCACCACTCGGTGCGACTTTTGGAGACGTGCGATGAGCTTGCTGCATAAGGTCAAAGGAACCTCGGCGCGACAAGAACGGTTTCAACGGAGACAGGTCGTCTCGCTTCGACGCGTGTCGTTTTGACGAAGTGGTCGGTGCGATTTCATGACGACTTGTCGCGGCAGGATGAGGAGAGGAACCGGCACCAGGAAGGCCTTGATGTGGACTATGCGGTCCAACCAATGAAGTCGGCTGTCTGGAAACATCTCCACTGCGAGGTCGAGGTGACGAATGAGCGCCGGCGTTGGAGGTGGGTGGTTGTCGCAAAGGAGATGTCCTCCCAGGTGGGTGACCGGGAGAACTTGTAGGTGCTGGTGAAAGCGGAAGATGCGAAGACTGCTTAGCCATCGATGACGGCGGATGGTGTTGCTTGGGGGATGAGAACGACGTTGGTGGATTCAACGTTGTTTTTGGAGATGACGAATGGGGGGATGCAACTCGCGGAGATGAATATGGCGGGCCCGTTTTCAATTGGGATGAACCAGTGGAATCTGCAAGGGCTCGATGTGGCGATTGCATTTGGTCCGGTAGGCGTGCGCTTGGTAAATTGTTCAGTTGGGTGGACGAGGAGCCTGCTTCAACTGATTGCGGAGGCGACACGATAAGCTCTGGTCGAGGAGATGTTCTTGCTGCAACGTCTGATTTGTTTGTATTGGACTGTCCACCTTGACGGGGCAGCGGCGACGATGGATGGCGTTCTTGCGGTGGAGGGGAATGTCTTCTCGAATGGTCGTGTTGCGGATCAGAGTGTCTCGAAAGACGATCGGGAGATCCATGACGGAAACCGTCACCTCGTACAGGGGACGACGCACGATTCGAGTCGAGTGGATGTCGCTGTGGCAGTCTGTCTCTAGATCGTTCTCTAGAACGATCACCGCGAAATCGGTTGCGCGCGTTGACTTGAAACGTATTATCTCGGCGTTCGCGCGAACGTGACCTGGATCGAGAGCGCGAACGGAAGGGACGACCGCCCATCGGACGGGACGACTTGAATTGTGAGTTGAATCCTCCCCGTCCACCGCGGTTGCTCCAGCCGCCACGTCCAACCCCACTGTTATAAGAAGAGTACGGTGGAGGGTCCTTATCAAATCGGCTCGGTCGACTTCGATCCATCGGGCCATTGTTGTGGTTTGGAGGTCCTCTGCAGCTGTTACCGAATTCACGTCCGCCGCCGCTGGAGGACGAACTGTATCGATCATTCATTGAAGACGAGCCGCCAGATTCTCCTGGGTTGTTATGGCGAGAGGGGGAACTGCTGGTGCCTCTGGGCGGTCCGTTGGTGCTGTGTGGGGTTCCTGACGAACTCATGTCTAGGTAGCAACGAGCATGCGATGGTAAGATGAAATCAAAGGAGAACGCGGTACATACCTCGCTCTTCTTTGTGCTCAACAAAAATGCCAGAGAGAAACTTCTGCGGGCAGTGCGCGACACTCGGCTGCGTGCGTGGTGCTGTCGCGCGTGGGCACTTCCTCCTTGCCGACCTGGCCCTGTCGACCTCTTGTTGCCTCGAATGCGATGGAGGCAAATTGGAACAACACACGTTGGCCAATCAAAACGCATGACAAATCCAACCTGAAAAATCTGCGAATACCTCTCTTTAAAAACCACAATTGTTGTTGTACACTCTGTGCCACCCATAAAAACAGGTGACACAGAGTGTTCTGTTCTTAAACAGAGGGTACGAATCAGAGGCTTCTTCTTCGACTGTGCCCAAATACCGCAATGGGCCAATCAAACGATTTCAAAAATCTCCACTTGTGTTCATACAAACTGCAAGATCTGATGCAAATGTTTTTTTTCTGGTCACCGCACGGGCCAATCAAATCGCTCACAGGTGCAACGCAATACTGTTTAAATGAATATATATGCAATGTTGCAGGTTTTCTTGTCCGTCTCCGTCCGAATGTTTCCCAGTGCAACTCAAAATCATGGCAGGATATCTGAACTCTTGACGACGGGCGAAGTAGGTATGTGGATGGGCCACTACGGAGACGAGAATGCCAACATCCACGTGACGGAAGGGATGAATCCAACGACCCGTGCGGAACTCAACCTCAAGGAGAAGCAGCGCATGTCCAAGATGAACGACACAATCGAGAATCTCCGCAAGGAACTCGAAGCCGCAGGCGTGTCGACCAAAATGAACAAGCAGTCGATCCTGGACAACACGCTCCATTACATGACGATGCTGCAGAACGACGTCGTGATTGCCAAGCAAAAAGCCGAGTACGCGCTTCGAATGGCACCGTCCATGATCACGTCGTCGCAGTCCCCGTTCGAGCGTTACTTCGACAGGTCCAGCGTGCCCAAATGTATGATCACCACGGACGTCGTCCTCGTGCGTGCAAACCAGGCATTCCTTATCCTATCTGGGTACACCGAGAGTGCGCTACGGCGCCCTGCGACACTACTCTCGTGCTTGAGTGTTGACACGTCCCGAGTCCGCACCATTGTTCGCCATGCAGTAGACACCCGACGTCCTGTCCATGCCGCTGTCGAGAATGGCTTTGCAGCGTCGCGCGCGATGAATAACCTCGTCTTCACGGCAGTCTTTGACCCGAGCGGCACCGTCGTCGACTGTATCGAGGTCGTGGTCACGACCCACAACGTCCAGTCCAATCCGACGGGAGTCATCGTGTGAGTAAAATGTGCACAATAATTAGGAATCCTCGTCGCCGTGCAATGACCAACTTTTTTTGAGTGGGCAGTCGTATGAACTCCACGGTTAGCTTCACCCTCGTGGAGCCCTGGCGCGGCCGCGATCGAGTTGCCTGTCGATTCCAAGCTCCACTTTCAAACCCCACCACCACGCAAGATGGAACGTTCCTTTATCATGGCGCTTGCATTTAAGGTATCAGTCTGTCTCCTCGCCTGCGTTCTCGGCGAGGTGGGGCATTCCCAGCCTAATGTGCGCAAGGCTCAATGGGGAAGTCAGCATTCACAACTTCCACATCCATATTTGTCATGGGATCGTGGAAGTTGCGCTTGACGTGGGCAGTGTGGTCGCTGCAAGAAATGTCCAAAAACAATATCGACGGGCTACAGACCTTAACCCGCTTTGTCCATCTTGGCTGCGCCCCGACAGAATGCCTTTCAAGATGAGGATTTCAAGAGCGGGGACGCGGTGCCACCTCAGCCACAGATGCGAAAGACACACGGCGTGGCATTGGGTCAACGACACGTGGGGGACTGACACGACAATGAAGTCGATCACTACGGACGCGTCCAAGGAGCTGCAGCCAGATGTATCCAGTGATTGAAGGTGGTAGAATCGTGATTGGGATTTCGCGGGGTCGCAGAGCTCGTGCCGCCGATATAGAAAAGCGTCAGAGTTGATGGGAGATACATCAGAGATAGCTTTGGAAGCTCGAGCACATGCAGTGTCATGGCAGCGCTGGTTGAAGACTGCGTGCCATCCAAACAGGTCGACTCTTGGAAGATAAAAAATTCAAGAGGGGCGAAGGGTCGGCGAGGTCGCTGCAGAAGGAAAGATCAAGAGGCATTAAGGAAGGCCATGCGGACGCAATGAGATTCAATGCATGCCTCGAGAGTCGATGGCAACCGCGGAGGTTTAAGTGCGTGAGGTGTAGCAACGACGAAGCAAGGTCGATCTTTGTGTCTGTGGTTGAAGGCATCCTTTGCAGAGACAAAGAGGCAAGAATGACGGAATATCGCCGAACGACAGAACGACTGAGCAGCAAGCAGGCTGTGAGAGCGAAGGGTGGCATGGAGGTCAAGAGTCTTCACGATGCGAGCCCCGTCGTCCGACAGGTCTCGATTGACGAAGGACAGAACGCGAAAAATGGCGAAGGAGTCCAAATACTAGAGAAGAGGGCCTGAGCGAGGGTGTGTCCAGGAGACGTCTTCTTGCGCTTCTTGTGGCGAACGGTGGGCATCTTTGACGAAGGACTGACATGGTGATGGGAGGTTGTTATGGGATTTTCGGCATTCTACTCGTTTCACACTTGGCGAGCAAGCCCAACGTCCGATGAGCTTCAAGTCGAGCGTTTCTTCATTAAACCACACACATCGCCTTGTATCGCCCTCGTTTCTCGCACCCATGGAACAAGCAAATGTTTTGCACCTTCGTAACAGGCAACCAAGCATTCTTGTGTGCGATATGAGTTCGCCGAGCGCACAGGTTGGGTAGTGGATCGAGTATGCGTGGCTACACGCTGTACAGAGACAAATAGATTAGCGGTCATACTGCGCGATCTCCTTGGCTTTATGCACTGGGGTAACCATGAATTCCCTCGGATGCCCTTGGTCTCCTTGATCATCGTGTGTACCTCCGAGCAACATGGAACGTAACCGAATTTTTTTCATTTCTGTGATTGAAGCTTGGATGGAATGATTGTTTTAAGAATCTTTTTCGAGTTGATATATTCCACTGCAATATATATCGAAGCGTTGCGTAAACTCTGGATCACTCGATTCGTTTGGTAATCACAGTACCGTTAGGAGCGTTGGGGTGGGGACATGGCAATCGTGTCCATGAGCGCCATGGTCGCGTTCCTGTGCACCTTTCGCGAATGGAGAAAGTATCACTTCATCCTGTGTGTACTGAACTGCATGCATTACTACTGTGCTGCGTCCAAGCCAACGCTGTACTATCAATCCACGCCCTTAACCAAACAATTGCTGGAGCACTGCTCGCTGCTTGGTACGTTTCTGGTGGCCAAGGGGGTGTGCGTTGCTGACGTGTGCCGTGTCCTTGTTAGTTGAAAAGTACCATCCGACATGGTTCCTCTTCAATGGGTACAGTCGATTCGTTCCACTTCGTCGTTCACTTGGCTCCAAACCTTCCAGGCATTTGCAGACAATCTTTTTGGCACTGGGGAGTCGATTTCCTGTAGTCACATACTCCCGCGAGTACGTGCATTTGGCAGACGGCGGACTCGTGTCATTAGATTGGGCGATTCCGCCAACAAAATCGACGTCGTATGTAGAGCAACACCACGACCAACCTACCGTCGTACGTGCACAGAATGCAAGTTCATTCGAATCGTATTGGATACCTTTGACCTAGTTATTACTTCATGGAACTTGCGGGGGCAGCTGGGAGGTAGATTCCAACTTTAATGGATCATCTTGCCTCGTTGATGCCCTGGCCATGTAGAATTACATTCGGAAAGCTGCCGACAAACTCATGGAGCACGGATGGCGCGTCGTCGTGATGAATGCCCGAGGTTGTGCAAAAACCCCCGTCCTTACACCTCGTGTACGTACGTCTTGTCTAGTGACCGGCTCATGTCCGTGAATTGCAGCTCTTCAACGCAGCCGACACCGATGACATTCGTCAAGTCGTCACGCACCTTCGCCGAAAGCATGCGCCAACCGCGCCGTTGCTGGCCGTGGGATTCTCATTGGGTTCGAATCTGTTGGTCAAATTTCTTGGCGAGGAGCGCGACAAGTGTGCGTTGGACGCTGCAGTGTCGGTGGGCAACCCGTTCGACGCGATGGAGATTTACCGTCACTTGCACCACTCGTCGCTGGCCACCCATCTCGTGTACTACCGCGCCATGACGAAGCGCTTTCTCAAGTTGTTTTTCGAAGAGGTCGGTGGGCATCTGGAGTTTCGTTCTCGCTTTGGTGGCTTCATCCCACCGATTTGGATAGTCCAATGTCCATGAACACTTTGCCGACCACCCCACCGTCGATATTGACAAGATGAAAAAGTGCGACACGATGTGGGACGTCGACCACGCGATGACGCTGAAGGTGTTTGGGTACGAAGGGTTACATGTCCTGTGTGTCTGCCATTTCTCAACGCGCCTACGTCAATTACTTGGCCGCTCCGCGTGTGCTTGGCCACGCTGACGAACTGGATTCATAGGTACAAGAGCGTTGTCGAGTATTACCGCGATTGTTCGTCTGCTCCATGTACGTTCATGCGGTTGTTAACCATGCAGTTGCTGCGAATATGCCTCCGTCTTGCATGCAATGGACCGCCGTGAACCTCTGTCGATAGATTTACCTCACGTTCGCATTCCCTTGCTCTGTCTGTCGGCGAAGGACGATCCTGTCTGTGTATCCACGGCCATCCCCGTCGAAGACTGCCTGGCGAACAAACACGTGATCCTGGCTGTGACAGAGCGTGGTGGTCACTTGGGGTTTTACACGGGCGACGGCATCTTGTCGTATCCAGATACGTGGTCAGCTAAAGTTGTCGCGCAGTATTGCGACGCAATGAGAGACATTGTCGTGTCTCGAACGAATTGCATGTCACCATCTTGGTCGTCCACAGGCCACAGTGACGATAACAACCCGATCGAACGACTTCCAGCCAAGGTCCATCCAGTCCCGCAGCCTCGTGGCCCACTCTCCCCCGTGCGGTTTCAGCACCAAAACTCGTTTCCAAGCGACCTTGTCGACGAGCTCGAACTGTGCGACGGTGTGCCGCTCCATCGTGTGTTTAGCTTTGGCGCTGCTGTGGCTTGTGCGTACTTCGTGAAGAAAGTTGAGCTCGTTGCAACATCCTGGCGAGGTCGATTGCGCCGTGCATGAAACCATTCAAAATGCTGCTTTGATCTGCAGAACGTGGACTCGAACGCCAGGGCTCCGATGTGACTGTTGGAACGGCAAGTGTTACGGATCCAATACATTGAAATTAAATACACTATTGACACGAGATGCCCTACCACGCCAGGCCCATGTTGGCAAACGGCGTCGCCCGACGCTGGCTAGCCGCGTAGCTGCGCGGAAAGAACGGGTTGTACACTGCTCTGGCACGAGGAATCCGAACTTCGACGACACCGCCAGCAGCACGACGAAGGGTGGCGCCGTGAAGGTTGAACAAGTGACTCGGAAATGATTCGGCGATGACGAAGCGTCCGAACGTGGGTTGACCCGTCATCCGCATCACTTGCAAGTCCCGTGGAGTGGGAAGCTTGGTGCCAGTCACGCGGAGCACATCTCCGTCGATTTGCACATCCAAATGCCGGTTCAAATCGACACCCGTCAGATCCGCCAAGAGGTACACAGCTCCATCGCGACCTTCATGCACTTCGTAGCGCGGAGTCCACTCGGGGATGTGTGACTCCTCCTCAGCACCTTCATCTTCCTCCTCGTTGTCCATGTCTTCGTCGTCACATTCGTCGTCATCAACCTCGCTGGTGTGGTCGTCGGTTTGGTCGTTGGAATCCATTTCATCGTTGTTGACATCTTCAGCACGCGCGGTCTCCTCCTCCTCCGTCGCGTCAAGGTTGTCGGAGGTCACGTTTAATGTCGAGGCGCCGTCTGTCGCCGCATCAGAGGAGGGAAACAGGGTGGCGTGGAAATCAACGAGCTTGTCGCATCGAACTTTCATCGCATCAGCAAGGACAAGTTCGTCTTGGATGCGCAGAACGAGTCGCTTTCGTTCTTGTCGGATCTCCATGTCGCCATCGCTTTCGACAAGGTCCAAGTCGCAGAGCAACCGGGTTAAACGTTCGCCTTGCTCAAGCACTCGGAAGCGGTAATTGCTGACTTGAAGTTTGCACTTCTTGACGTGGGTTGGCGCGTTGTCGTGATGCGCAACGCAGAGCCACTTGGTTGCGGCGAGCTCGGCCGCTATGATGCCATGTTGGTTGGGCAGGCGTGTGGTTAGGATGTCGTGGATACGGTCGACATGCTCCTTGACGACTGCCAACTGGCTTCGAGCTTTCATGGCGTTCGTTGTCATGTTTGTGAGATGTTGATCAAATTGAAGAATGACTGATGCGGCGACGGACTCTGCATGCCATTGCCGGCATCGTCCTAGAATTTCCCCGGCGTTTCATGAAATTACCGTGCTGTGCTCGAATTTTCAGGCAAATTCGAGAATGTACCAGAGGGAGAGACGCCGAATATTTTGCGCAATTTGTAGAAATATGAAAATGTACCCAAGTAGTAAGTATTCAATTTGGTGCACATTTTCCATCTATCGCGCTGATTAATAAATCTATTACTCGAGATAAGATTGGCTGTAATCGAGCGAAGGACAAATCAACTCTCCGATTTTCATTGTCGTTGTGTGGAGTGGCCAATCGGAACGGTTTTGGATCGATTCGAGATATCACGCAAGAACACGAATATTTCCTCAAATAAATATCCGGATTTCATGACCCCCGCACTTGAGAGGAACGTAGCATTTCCCCAGCAGCAAGATGAACCAAGACGGAAGCGGCGAGATTGGGCAGGGAAAGGAAGCATTTGAGAGTACTTACACGCCCTCCTTCATGAAGCAGCTAAAGATCAACTTGTAGCGGTCTACGAGTTGTCACGACTCCTGAACACGGGCCTCGACCGCGAATCCCTCAGCATCCTCATCTCGCTGGTTGAGAAAGGAGTCAATCCCGAAGCGCTGGCTGCAGCAGTGAAGGAGATCCGGCGGTCGTCCCAAGATCCTCCATCTGTAAGCACATTCATAACGCCAGTACGAGGCTGTCTGGTGCATGACTTGCTCGTGTTGCAGGGGACAGGCAAATCGACCAACGACCAGCAGTTTCATTATTAAGGCAACATGGACATGGTGCTCAATACCACCACTTTTTATGCATGGCGCGTCGATGTTTGAATGCGAAGTGAACCACCGCAAGGGCAGCAAGCGCTGCAGCACCTCTTCGCAGGGACACCTGGCCCTCGGCTCCATTTTCCACGAAGGCAGAATTACCGTTCCCAAGGTTGCCGTCGTTCGCTAGTGGGGGAGTGTCCACCGTTGCCTGATCAGCCGACTGAAAGAGACGGCGGACGATCGAAGGTTTCGTTGCATCACGCGCGCTGTTGATCTCGACAATGGCTTTGCAAAACTGCGCCACGACATTGGCAGACCACATGTCGGGCACTTCGAACAAATTGTTGCCTGTGAAGAACCCCAAGTGACCACCAGTGTCGGTGACGGCCAGGAGCAAGTTGTCGTTCGCGATAACGTCGTCGTATGGGGTAGCTGTGTGGATGCAAATTGGGTCGTCTTTTGCCGACAGCAAGAGTAGCGGGATCTGAACGAACTTGAGATCTACGGGCCTCCCATGCTGAACCATCCACTTCGATCGAATCAACGTCGTACACTGATTGCTCGACGCGTCGCGGTAGTAGTCGCTCACGGACGCATACCTACGATGGATGATGCTACGCTGAAGCCACTTTTATCCGCTTCTCCAAGGCGGTGGCATCAGGTTCCACGCAAACTGCAACAACTGAACAAGATAAACCAAGCGAAGATGCATACCCAAATGCGCGTCTTGTCAGCTGCTCATCAAAGTCGATGACGCGGGACGTGGCCTGGATGGAGGCGAGGTCGATCTCGGGGTGGTCGGCAAACAATTCGTGGGCATTCGACTATTACGCAGAGAGTAGATGGTGAGTGATGTCGCGGTCGTCCATGTCAGCAAACCATACGCGGACGAAGAAGAGGTCGTTCAGGTTCGTCGCCAACGGCGCGTTGTAAATGGCGTTATGAACGAACGAGTGATTCAAGTTGCGACTATTGCACATAAAGTCGTACGGGTTGCCAACCGAGACGGCCGCCGTCAACGGGCATGCCGCTCCTTCTTCCCCAATGTACTTGACCATAATGTTTGACCCAAGCGAAAACCCCACCGACACCAGCGGTGCCGTCTGGACATGATTCCGTCGGAGCATCGCGACTACTTCGCGCACGTCGTTTGTGTACGCGCCGCAAAAGAGCTACAGTGCCCCGTGAACGGAAAGCAAACCAAATATCCGCGTACATGTGGTGTGAGCAATGGTGTGTTGGCGCACCCGCGGGCATTCATCACGACGACCCGCCATCCGTCTCGCACGAGCTTTTCCACCGTCACGCACACGTAGTTCTGAACGTGATATATGGTCAGGGGGGAAATGGCGAAAGTAGATGCGATGGATGACGTACATCCCCGCTGCCCCCTGTGAGCCCATGAAAGACGATCTGGAGGACGCATGACGTTGAGTCATTGTATGTATGCATGGGATGAAGTGACGAACCACAGTTGGGATGTCTGGAAAGTTCACATCATCGGGGGCGACGCCAGGAGGTACTGCCCAGTCCAGAGACACAACACCGCCATCGGAAAGCGGGACCATTTGGCGCTCGTAATGGATCTGTGGGTGGGAAGTCAACTTGGCCAGCATGATTGTATGCAAGTGCCTAAACAAATTCAATGCTTTCTCCCTGCGGTATAAGACAGATCGTACCCGTTGTTGAGCAAGTACCATGAAGGATGGTACTTTTCCACTACATAATCGATGTCAGGCAAGTAAAGCTAGTGGTGTCCAACCTAAGAGAGAACATTTCTTCACAATTGCCTCAGCACGAGGAGACTTCTGGTATGTTAGAGACGGCTGCTTCGCTGTCCAGACGTAATGCAGGTAGTTGATCAGGTATAGGATACACGCATACTTCTTGATCGTGCGATCATGCTTCAGCAAGTCCGTCAACTCCCGCTTCCACTCCGACAGCGCCGCCTCCACCGGAACCATGTGAGGGTGCGTGAGCTTGTTGACACATCAATCTGAAGTTTCGTCGAATCCGGTAAAAACATATTGATATCCGGAACTCTTTTGAATGTGCTCGAGTGACCACCACGACGATGCCCCCGCTGTTGGCGGCACTTCTTCCAATGCGACGGCACGTGTTCGGGATGATATCGCGCCATAGCTCCACCTCTGTGGCCAGCACAGGAACATCCGTTGAGAAAGGTCTTGAGTACGAGCATCAAGTTGCCCGCGTGATGGCTCAATACAACTGCCGACTCACACCAACGTCGATGTCTATGGATGGTGGTGTGGACCACTACGTACGTTCGAAATGTAGGATGCGTCGATCAGTGATATTGTGCATATAGGGTGTGTGGGCATTACCTGGAAACGATATCCAGATTGTGACGCAATGTAAGCACGAGCAAACCCCCACAAGCGTGTCACAACTGCGAGAGTTTGAAGGTGTCCTGAGCTCGCAGCCTGATGAAGTAGTTGGCATCTTTGCTAGTGCATCTGGCTACAGTGTGTTTGCCAAGAGGTATGGTACGAACGCTTGCATCTTGCTCATTGTGGACGGTAGGTTCTTCAGCCGCATGACAAATCCGGCGATTCGCGTCACCATTGTCCAAGATGATATTGTCGAGTTTGGTATGAATCCCCTAGCAAGGCAGCGGTTGCCGAACCTAGTTCCTGGAACAACTTTTTCCAGTAGCGGGCCAAGCTTGGTCTTGATGTACGATGGACGAGTCTTGAAATAGCCCACTTAATGCACCCTTGCTCCATTCAACACACGCATTATTCGCGGCTCATGCTTGGCCGACGCTGTCGAACATGCGATAAGCTCTGGGGACACAACAAAATTCTATGCTCAGCATTCTCCAATATTGACAGGCAATCCACGTTTACTTCAGAAATGCTGTGAACTCTCACAGTTGCGCCAGATTCCTCAGTGTCAACGGCACCGGCGGTACTGCGCATGGAGCATTCAAGCCACGGTCGAACATACCACTCAGCACGAGACTGGCGGAACGGTGCAGCCCGGCCCTGGCAGTGCCCGTCGCACCGATTTTGAATGGGGAGTTGTCCGGTTGATCGATCGACCACCATCCGGACATGAACTACCGATTACTTCGAGTATGAATTATTAGTATGCACTTTCGCAATCGAGCCGCCATGACGAGTACCTTCAAGATGATCAATTCGCCGACAACGGTAGTGGATGAGATGTTGCGTGGCTTGGTGCACTCGTCCCCAGACCTGTGTCTTGTCTCTGAATACAGAGTCGTGCTGCATCGCGATTTCAATGACATTAAACAACGACAAGTGACACTACTGTCAGGAGGTGGAAGCGGCCACGAACCTGCTCATGCTGGTTACATCGGTCACGGCATGTTGACGGGTGTCATCTGCGGCGACGTGTTTGCGTCTCCTAGCACCAGCCAAGTGCTGACTGCAATTCGCCTGGCAGCTGGCACCCAAGGTTGCCTGATCATCGTCAAGAACTACACGGTAAGTCTGCTGCGCTTACCCCTATACTCTCATCTGAACGTGTAGGGCGATCGACTCAACTTTGGGCTAGCCATAGAAACGGCCAAGGCAGAAGGAATTAAGGTCGACATGGTTGTTATTGGCGACGACCTGGCCATTCCAAGTAATTGCTTGGGTTTTGTCGCAGGCAACCAACTGTTAAATCATAGATGCCAAGGCCGGTCGCCGCGGGCTTGCGGGCACAGTGTTCGTGCACAAAGTTGCCGGCGCGATGGCAGCCCAGGGGTTTCCATTGGACAAAATTGCAGAACAAGTGCAACATCTTGTCATTGGAACGATGGGAGTAGCTTGGAAGTCGTGCACATTACCTGGCCAAACCTCCAGGTCCACGTCATCTGACAAAATGATCGCCAAACTAACGTCGTCTTGCTCAGTCGTCACATTCAACCCCACGAAATGGAACTTGGGTTGGGCATTCACGGTGAACCCGGAGCGAAAACAATTGGTCAATTGCCATCGCAAGCCACCGTTGCTGAGCTCATGACGACGATTCAGAACGGCATTCAGGTCGCACGTACGAAACGCATCCAATTCCTACTTCCGTCATTGCTATACACAATCCACAGGAAAGGATCGCGTTGTGGTTATGGTCAACAACTTGGGCTCCATGACATCGATGGAGCTGCAACTCATCGTGAATGACGTACGGCAGTCTTGCGCCAAACATGATGTTGTCGTCGAGCGAGTTGCCGTCGGATCGTTCATGACGGCGTTAGACATGGCTGGTTTTTCGCTGACGCTGTGGAAACTGAGCCCTCAACATTCGACGCAACAACTCGAGTGGTTGGACGCATCTGTGACTGCACCAGCTTGGCCTGTGCGCTTGGGTCGCTTTGTCGACAATAACGTTGTGAATTTTGCAGCCGTGATACCACCGAGCATTCAATCTACGTCGACGTTGACTGCGGCGGGCGAACAGCTCAAGCGTGCCATCATCGCGGCGACTCAGAGTATCATTGACGCTGAAGGCGACTTGACCGAGTGGGACACTAAAGTAGGATTGTGAGTCAGCTTCCCAAAAGATGATGTCTTGGTATATTAGGTTGGTGATGGCGATTGCGGCCACACCTTGGCAACTGGCGCCAAGGCGATTCAAAGTGCTCTTTCAGACTTCCCGCTCAATGTTCCGTCCATGACACTGGCCGATATTGCGCGCGCTGTTGGGAGTGCGATTGGTGGTACATCTGGAGGTCTATTCGTTCAAGAGACATCATGAGAATCGTTGTTTTTGACGGAAGACTGGGGTTGTAGTGCTGTACACGATCTTTTTCACGGCGGCCGGTGCTATGATGCAGACCTTTGATTCTAAGAACGATGTCGTCGAAGTTCCTTTGCAAGCGTGGGTAGAAAGTTTTGCGGCGGGTGCCGGGGCGATTGTGAAATACGGCGGGGCGACGGAAGGCTCTCGCACGATGCTGGACTCCATGTTGCCTGCCATTCGTGCGGCACGTCGTGTATGTCAGAACCATAATAAGCGACGATGACATCTCCTGAGTTTCAGACGGACATACCTCGAGCGGATTGGATTGAAGCTGTGAAGAACGCAGCGCTTGAAGGTGCCAACTCAACCAAGCGGATTGCTGCCCATGAAGCATGTGGACGTACGAGTTACGTGGCCGAAGACCATGTCAAAGACGTCCCAGACCCTGGTGCCATGGCTGTTGCAATCTGGATTCAAGCAATTGCACAAGCTTCACTATAAGCCTTGCTCTGGATCTGAGTTTGAAGCATAATGCGCTCAAATTAGCGAGCTTAAATGTCGTTTGCGGGATGGTGAACAAAATCACTACTCCATGGCCGCTTATCGATTTTGCTCACAAAATACCTGGGGGCACTACGGCAGAAATCTGAAGTCAGTGGTATTGTAGTGCGAGATGAACTTACATTTCTTCCCGACTGACCGTCCAAAAGTATTCTGGACGGGACCCCCCCAGCATTTGTGATCGATTCAGCATTTGCACGAACTCTTCGTCGTGGGTGATGCAAATGAGTTGGAAATTCTGCTGTTTCTCGCGGGCAATCAAGATACTACAACAGTAATCAGCACAACGCAGTTATCAATACTAAGTCGTCATACTCTGAAATGGCTTGAGCAAGGCCCAACTTGTTTGCAGTGTCCAAGTTCGTTGTTGGCTCGTCAAGCGCCAAAATCCCACAGTTTAGACAGAAGGTTTCGGCTAGAGCTAGGCGGATCACCAACCCTGCCAGGACCTACGTGGGAACGTCATGAACTGGAACTAAATCCGTCAAGCTGGTACCTTTTGACCAGCGCTGCAGCGGCCTCGCATGTCGAGAACCGCGCTGTCTTTGCGCATGACAACGCGGTAGTTATATGAACGTTTCGATTTCGAGTCGCCAGTATCGTGACCACTGACGATTTCAATTGTGTCGATGTCCTGACCTCTATACGTGATTTGCCACAAACTCCGAATGATGGCATTGATTTCTTCAATCTTGCGTGAGTGAAATTCCATGAGTGACAGATCCAGCGCCTTGTAGTACTTGTCCAAGTCCGACACGGCCATCACGGTCGTCTCATATTCAATAAACTTGTGGCGCTTCTTTTCGTCAATGTTTTTGAGATCGCGGTGGGCCAATTGTGCTTGCACCTCGCGGACTAATTCTTGCAAGTTGTCTTGCTTCCCAGCAAGTTTCGCTCGCGCTTCCTTTGCCGCGCTAAGTGTTTGATTTGCCACGCGGCATGCATTCTCGGCCTCTGCCGTGCTTTTGAATTTGTCGACCTTTCGCTTGAACACTGCAATGTCCTCCTTTGCCTTGTCCACGTTGTCTCGCAGCTGTCGGAATTGGATGTTGTCGCGGATCTGGCGCTTGAAGCTTTCGGTTTCTGACAGCGAACTGCGTGCCCGGTTCTTCTCCGGCTGTAGCACTGCAATTTCACGAGAAATTCGCTCGCTTTGTGCATTCAGTAGTTGCAACTCTTGCTCAAGTTCTTGCAACTTGCCCTCGTCATTTTGCTTCTGTAATTGCTCAACTTCTTCATGCTTCGTCTTCACAAGCTGCATATCTTGCTGGCACTGAGTTAGCTCCGAACGCTTCACGTCCATCGCTTGCTTTAACTGCATACGACTTATATCACGTTCGTTGACTTTGATTTGGAGCTCTCGCTGCACCCCTGGAAAGTCCCGCTGGGAGGTCGCCAGGTCGTCTTGTAGTTTTCGCAATGTCGCACGCAAAAGATCGCGTTGGTCCTTGGCCTTCTCCAGTTCATTGTTGCGTTGGTTCAATATATGTTTGTCTTCTCTCACTTTGTTGACTTCGCCTTGCAGGCGCATGTGGGCCTCCGACGCCATATGAATTTCTTTTTGCTTGTTCTTGAGTTTCGTTTCAAGTTCCCTGCAGTTGACTTGCATGGCTTCCAACACACCTTGGGCTTCGGTCATCGTCGGGGGATTTGATCCGAGACTGTCTGCTAATCGCGAGATCAAGTCCCGCTCTAATGTGGCCAGCTTCCTCGAGTCGAATTCGACTTGCTCGTGGTTTTTTCTAACCGACTTCAGCATAGCGCAACCTTCGACAACTTGTGCAAGTTTGCCTTCATTTTGAAGCAGAGCAAGACGGGCTTGAGTTAAGTCGACTTCGAGTGCGCGCGTTTGCTTGTAGAGTTCGTTGAGCATCTCACTCTTTGCAGGTAATTCCTTTAGGATGGCTTGATGGCGGTGCCAGGACGGCATCAACGTTTCGGTTTGCTTCCAAACTTCAAAAGCTTGCTGTTCCAACCGTTCAGCCTTTTGAATTTTTTCTTGGTTCTTCGAGTCGTCCATTTTGTCGGCAATGAGTTTAGAGAAAACCGCCAACTCGTCGGGGGTCATACCGCGATGGCACAGTGGACAGCAGTTTTCCTTTTCGCCTTTCTTTTTGTATGTCTTCAAAAACATGACAGCATTTTTCCGGCTCAAAGTCTTGTCTTTAGCCTCCATGTACATGGTTTCAAGCTGAGACAACGCCGACTCTGGTTGCAGCAAATACGCCGAAAAGATTCGCTGCAACTCTTGCATAGGACCTTGCTCCAATAGATCCAATTCTTGTCGCAACTTGGACACAAAATTCTCTTCTTGTTCCTTTTTTAAGTTCAATTCCGTCGCGCGGGCTTCTTGATGCCGCAAGGTTGCTTTGCTTTCGTCAACAGCAGCCATTGATGCCTGAGATAACGCCTCCAACGTGTCAGCATCGTGCGCTAACGAGTCTTCAGTCGGCGTGTGGGCCAATAGCTGCACCAACTTGGGGTCGCATAACGACTCTATCACACTGAGCTTACTAGCAGTGACGTTGCGCCGAGTATGCTCCAACGCACTTTCGTCCTTTTCAAATCCGCGCAGAATATTCACTTTGTTTTGGGCAATTTGCATGTCATAAGTGAGTGAGTGCAGCTCCTTTTCCAGTGCAAACGTCTCATCGCGGATAAGCGACATCGCGTTGTTGTTCTTTGACGCCTCGAGTTTGGCCTCCAGGTCGGCAAGCTTGGCTTCGAGCTGGGACAGTTCTCGCTGCGACGGCGCTGATTCGGTTGAACCTTGGTAGCTTTGAATGAATTGCACCACCTTAGCTTCTTCCTTCTTGACCTCGGCAATTTCAGCATTCTTGTGGGCAATTTGGAGGCCAAAGTGATTGACTTGTGTCTCTAGCTTGTTGATCGTTGAATTCCACGTGTCGTTCAGGTCCACGTTTTCTTGCTCCAAGTTCTTGAGCTCAATTTCCTTTTCCACCAGCGCGTCTTGGAACCGCGACCAAAACTGCCGGAGTTCCTGACTTGTGTTGAGGGACAGAAATGATCCAAACGCGTGCTTTCGACCCATGTTACACGCTATCTCAGCTCGAGACTTGACGGCCGATCGTAGTTTTTCGATTGCTTTGATAAGGAGCCCTTTGCCCACACGCAGGTTCACGACCTTTTCGCTAATCATGGCTTTCGTCATTTGCAGCTGGGATTCCTGAGACTCGATCATTTCGACTTGGCGGTTGTTTGTCGCCACGATGACATCGTAGTTTGTAAGGAGCTCGTTCAATTGCGACGTGGTTTCGGACATTTCTTTGAATTCGGGGTTGCTTCTGTAGTTTCGCTGAATATCGTGCAGCATGGCCACAAGTGCGTTGTCCTTCTGGACAATCTCCGCATTCAAAGCCCTCGATTCAGCCAACACATTATTTGCTTCGACGACATGCCGCTCAAGGTCGTCTATATTGTCCGATATGGCATTCTCGTCCAACTTGAGCGCCTCGAGCTTAGATTGACGGACGTCCAATTGCTCTTCCAACTCACGTGCGCGCTTCACCTGTTCGTTGATCACGTCCAAGTCGCGTTTGAGGTCCTTTCCTTGGTTAGCACGGTCGGCCTTAAGTTTCTTGATTGCTTCAAGCGCTTTCGTATACCGAGCCGATTCGAAAATGTCATCGAATCTTTTCTTTAGCACTGCTCCTTCTTGCAATGGCCAGTTTGAGTCTTCTTGGTGGCAAAAGATTACACTTTCCAGGACAGCTTTCGACACTCCAAGCAAGTCAGGGATGTGCTTGTCTAGTTCACCGCACTTTTGGTTGATGCTAACCTTTTCCCCGTGCTCGTTTACCATGCGAACGACACCATCCATGGCAGAAAACTTGGTGTTGGATTTCATTTGCTGCAAGCGATACGTGCGTTGCACGACCATGGTGTGTCCCGCGCGACGTGTAAAGCGCAGACGAACACTGCCTTTTACTTCCACGTCTCCTCGAATCTTTGGATCGTGCACAAACGATTGACCCGACCTTGCACCAGGAGGAAGCAACCCCGTGCAACTGATCTTAAGGCACTCGATGATCGTCGTTTTGCCGCATCCTACGAGAGCAGTTCATGTGATTTGGATAACATCTCCATGCACATACCGTTTGCACCCAAGATAACGGTGAGCGGTTGGTTAAAGTCGATGGATTCATCTCGACCGGGGCTGAAACTGCGGATTCCTCGGATGGAGAGCTTGTCGATGGACGACATCTTCGCCAGGACTTGCCGCTCTACCAGAATTGGAATTTTGTGACGACAATTACACGAACCTCTGACATACGATATCAAATTTGGGAGATAGATCGTTGCACATATCGAAAGGGCGCCGTCGTCGTCGCCGTCATGCACTTCAACGGCGCCACGAAATCTCCTCGGCATAAACGCAAGAAACGTGATGGGCGAAGCGTTGATGGTCTTGGATTAGTTCCGCAATGGGACAGCAACACAGCGACTGTATTGTTTCCATCGCTGAAACGGGAGGTACACATTATACCCGTTGATGCGTCCAGCGACGTATCCAAGCCACGAAAGCGACAGCCAGTGCGACCACCGCCGCGGGGCGATTCTATCACATGCTCAAATCAGGGAACGACTGCACGAAACGACGTCACATTGCCACTGTTTCACCCATCCGATGGGGAGTTCATCCCTCGTCCGCGTACATCCGACGCCCCCTTACTTGGCTCGGCGTACATTGCGCCGACGCAGCCGAGCGTACTAACCCCTCGACTACCGCATTTATCCATGCATGACAAATGGTCTCCACCGATTGCTGTGCCTATGACTTCTGTCATGGAGGCACTGACAAGTGTTGTTGCCAGCAACACAATACAGAAAGATACGAATCAACGCACTGTGCTGCACATCTTCCTGGATGATTGGCTCGAGCAATTTGAAAAAGAAGAACTCAACTACCGATCTATCAGTACGTCCTACGAATCGCTCGTTTTTCCTACCGTGGCTGTAAATCGTCTTATAGCAGTACACGCGGATATTGGGTTCAGCGAAATCAATCGACTGACGGGCCAGCTCGATCGCCCTCACGACATCATGACTGCATTTTGTTGCACCTTATTAGGTACCCCACAGGACAATGCTGCCGCAACACTGGCTGTTACTGCGGTAGAACGCTTGGCGCCATATTTTGGGCAGTACCAAGGCATGCTTCGAGTGTTGAGCAGCGAAGTCCAGCGCTCCATATACATGAAGTCGATTGTGTCAGATCAGCCACGAGTGTTGTTTAACTCTCCCACGTACTTTGCCGCAGTCAAGGATGTTCAGTACCAACTACTATCCCGAGTCGATAAGCGGTACGTGTCGACTGTCGCGACGGTTCACTTGATTTGTATATAATAGGAATCGGTGCTCTGAGCGCAATAACTTTTTACAGAATGAACTCAAACGCGCCCAATTGACGCTCGAAGAAACGATGCGCGATTGGGATGCCGAGTTGACAAGGACGTGCTTCTTTGCGTGGTACGAAGAATCGATTGTTCGGAAAAAGGTACTGACGTAATATCATCGACATTACAATCGAATGTACATGCACGATGGTGACTAGGTCATCTCGAAAAACTTGCGATGGTTTTCAGTGTGGTACTCGGGCTCGCCACGGACGATCCTGCTGTCTACGTTTGAGGATTGGAGAAACTGGGCGCGCTTCCACATCAATCAGCGGATCACTCAGAAGCTCCAAGAGGACTGGTACAACTCACTAAAAATCCTTGTCGCCACGATACTTGGTCACACACGACACATGCAGTGAAAAGGTCGCGACAGCCCAGCGTAATGTCGCCGAGCTGACTGAAATCAACGACGCGTTGCAAGAAGAGTTCACATGGCTTCAGGAAGACCACAATAATCTCCATGACAACGTCCAGCTCATGTATGTCCAGATTGACAACGGTGCGTGACCACTCTGTACTTGACGGCAAGTTGCCTGACCTGCTGAACCTGTAGCAAAACAATACTTGAAGAGCTCGGCCGGGCGAGAAGAAACCGTGTGTTTTGACGGTCAATTGCGCATTGAAGTCGTGTCTGAAATCGCGCATTTTATCCTCGAGTCACTCCTTCGGTCCCAGTACAACCTCGGGTACCACCAAGAGATCCTAGGCCACGTAAGTATTTCTATAGTCTGTCATCTTTGATTTATGTCGTGACGCTGAATCCCCACATAGCTTTCCCTTGACGAGTATTGCCTCGAGCAATTCGTGTCGTATGTGATGCGTAAATCCCCAAGCGACCCACCGACTGTCGAGAACTTGTCATTGGAACAATTTGTGGGGTTCATGGACGCTTTCAATACCTACCTCTCCCAACAACGAATTCTCTTCAGCACCACAAAGCCAGTCCCCACCACAGTGACACCACAGTCGGTGGTAAACAGTATAATCGTGCTCAGAAGACGAAACCACGCATGTACTAGGGCGGGTACTTTCAAGAATGGGTCAGCGAGTGCATTCGGCAACAGGATCATTATGCAATGTCGCCAACTCTATATTTTGCACGGCATTTCGAAGACCACGAAATCTCAGTCATGCCAGTCGCGACTACTGTGTGTATGTCCTGCACTTTTCGGTCTTTTCTATCTTTTACAATAGAACGGTGATGTAGCCATACACAAGAACACGCCCACAGTCGTGACAGCTTCCCGACGCCAGTCCATTGGCAACACAAAAAGTCTTCCCCACCTTCAGAGTGTCACATTGACAGATTTAGACCAGTTCACGCCGCACTGGCGGAACCTGTTGGTTGGTCGGTGCTTTCAAGAATACGGATGCTTGCTATTTCCGAGCAGCGACTTGTGCCCTTACGTACACAACCCGCACATCAGCGAACGGTTGCATTCGCAAAAGAAGAAAAAGTTGAAAAAGTCCAAGTCGAAAGCGAGTCGACGCAATCTCCTTGCTTCGACTCAACTAGACGACGAAGATGACTACGACAATGAGAGCGATATCACCCCGCTCACTGCGTCCAAGCACTTTGTTCGTGCATATCAGTTGTGGAATGAGATATGCTCGAGCCTTTGCCAAGCGTCTGTTCTCGATTCATCGTCAGAGTCCATCCCTCTGCGAGTAGTGTATCTATCTCCTGCAAACGAATAATTTGACTCCCTGATGTATGCCTAGAAACGATCGCAGTCCAAGCGAATGCTCACCTCTCAAAACTCGGTGTCCAACTTTAGCAGAAATGTCCGTGCAGGTTAAACTGCAGGCAAAGTTTACAGCTAAATGTAGGGCCAGCCAAGTCTTCGATTGGAGCCAGCGCTGCATTTTGAGCTTCCAGCAAACAGCATTTATCTGTCTGGGGGGCAGTTGGCGAGTAAAAAGTACAATTCGTATGGTACGACCAAGCTGCGCGCTCTCGAATCGACTCGAGTTTCCAACTTTCGATGCACAATTGAACGTATTCACGAAGTCGTGTTGACCTCGTGGGAACGAAGTGCAGAGGTAACGTGACATGTGTTTTACGACTCCATTGGCGCGCTGTGCCTAAGGATGGCTGTAGGTGAAGCACACAAAATTAGCCATGGCGCACGGTCGATTGGTCATGTGGAACAGCGCGTGCGGCATGGCTCAAGACAAGGAATGTGCCAACAATACGTCTGCAGAACTTCTTACTTCGAGAGGTATTTAGAACATATCATGGAGCGTCGTGTAAGCCACTTGATCTCTTGTAGATATTCGACCAAGTCTGTTTCAAGTAATTAATGGGGACTCTCCGGCCATCAGAAAGATTCTCCACGAGGAAGAAGACCCTGAGGGCGAGTTTGTAAACGTCCGACGCATCTTTCAAGTCAACGATGCATTGTTTCGCTTGTTGTACACCAAAGCTGGTCCAGACGTCAAGTACGCGTTGACATTGGACGAGCTATGGCGCACCATGAAGCGCCTACGCGTGATGACGCAGTTGGTACCCACTCCGCGCGACGATGAGAGGTGCGGTGCTAGCAATGAGAGATTCATGGCAAGTATTTGTTCATATTTCTATGAAGTGCCGATACTCAAGAGATTTCGGTCGTGGACTTTGCTGATATCTTGCTCCGAATCTGCAACGAGCAATTTGGAGAGCTTGGGCGCCTCGGACAGCGCGTAGATCGGTTTGTCGTAGAGCATTTGTGCTTCTTGCAACAAGCTAAGTCAGCCCTACGGGAAGAGGCGCAAAGCGCTGCGATGAAAGTAAATTGCTCCGCATGTTTCTCCAACTTGGGCACTAAAACCCCATGTTTTCGTGATAGTCGGTGCTGAGTGAATTCAAGGAGCAGCTGGCCGGGATATTCAAACGATACGCTGTCAAACCCAAGTCCAAGGAAAAGGGTGTCTTGCACTTCAAGTTGCGCGATTGGATGGCATTTGTGAAGGTGGGTGAAGCATACTTCTACTGTCCAATGGTAGTTTCATGCAGGATTTCAAGCTCTTATCCCCGCGATTTACTTACGAAGCGGCGCACGATTTGTTTCGGAACGTTCAGGAAGGCGCGTCCCACGAAGACGACATGGAAATGGTGTACGCCGAGTTCTGCGAGGCTGTTGTTGCTTTGGCTGGCTTTCAAATACCCGACCCATTCATGGACTGGCCTGTCAAAGCATCGACGTTTATCCATCGCTACTTAAACCATGATGTGTCGAAGGAGTAGACCCACGCAACAATGCTCAATATTTCATCTCAATTCCACGACAGAGTCGCACTCCGGTTATGGGATGGAGTAGGCTATCTCGGCATACTTTACACACGTCGTGTCAGTGCGACACATAGAAATATGAACACCTGACCTGTTTCCATGCTGTCGGGTTGAACCACTCCGTCATTCCTACGACTTGGTTAGTCCTGTGAAGATCGACGACGACGGCGATCCAGCAATGGTTTCAGATCAGTTTCACTTGCAACCAAGTTTACTGACAACGAATTATTTATGGCAAAAAAATCACAATTTTTGCTCCAGTATGTACAGTACCGGTGACTTCTGGGCGACAGGGCGTTTGCATCAACCAATCACATGCTGCAATCCGGAATAGGTTGGAATTGAACCAATCAAACACTTCCACACTGAATTCCATTACTGAACAACGCCATTTTCGAATTTGCTGTCTTGCTGCGATTGCTTTCCCCTTAGGCGCTCCGGTCACCGTCCCCCATCACCCACACCCTTTCTCGTCAAGTCTTTTCGGAACACCCCGGCATTAGCCTCGTCGCTTTTTTTCTTTCCGTACGCATGTCCCGGTTCGTTTGATCCTAGGTCCACTTGGTTGGATTCGCTGGCGCCACTGCTGCTGAGACACGCTACAACTTTCCACATTTGGATGTACCCCTTCATCTACTTCCTGCGCTATCAATCACCGCTTCAATCGCGAAATTTCAACTGCTCGTCATTTTGGAGAGCTTGCTGGTCGAATTGGATTCGTTGATCACAACTATTCGGAAATGATGCAATGCCCGGTCAAATTACACCCCAACTAGTTGCCGCTTGAAGACCTACGAAAGGAATCATACGCGTGAACACAAGGACCACTGGCCATTTTACCGCTAGCGAAACAAATTTACGTCGGAACATTCGCAAGCTGTGCAACAACGGTCGACGAAGCATCAATCACCATCGAGTCAGAATTAGCCACCTCCGAGATAGCCACCCATCCAAGGCAACAGCTGCATCCGCAACTCTTTCCACACATGGAGCAAAGCAAGACTGCGAAGTGGCGTGTGCACGGAAATTATGGTTGAAAGCATGGACAAGAACTACCGCATCATCATCATGAGAAAACAAGGCGACGTAGCGATTGAGGCAGCCGCATACGCTCGCCCTAAAAGGACTGCAGCCTCCGTCCTCCCCTGCTGGTACCAGGCATAATGACGGACAAGCGGAGATTCGATCGGCAATGTTGACAAGGCGAGCGCATCATCAACATAACGTACGGCGACGTAGCAACGAGGTCGGAGTCATTGGCACTGTGCAGCCCCACAAACGATCAGAGTCGAATGCGCTTCCGCGGGAAACACCTCAGTACAAAATGAGCACTGCGAAGTCGGCGTGAATTCCCCCGATGGCTACGAGGCATTGCGACGGACAAGTGGAGTATCTATGAACAATATTGGTGAGGCCAACGCATCAGCAACAGAACGCACGGCGACGTAGCGACCACGTCCGAGTCATCGGCAGTACACAGCCCCACAAACGGATCGCAGAGTCAAAAGCCTTACTCGGGAAAGACCTCAGTGCACAACAAGCTCTGTGAACTCAGCAAGGGGCATATGGGATACACTGTCACATGCGGCATCGATCGTTTGTATTTTCGAGGAGCACCAAAGTGGTTTTCGGCAAATTGTGGCACTGCTGCGACAGCTTGTGATTGGTTTCGTGGCGGGTGTGTGTGATGGGGTGACAAGACGGACGTACCGGAAGGTAAAGTACTCACCTGCGTGTTATTTTCATGTCTGTTTTCTACGACTGAAACGAGCTTTGCTTGTTACTGGTCTTGCATTTTCCTGTCCAACATGGCTCTGCCTTGACGCGGCGGACAGGCTTCTCGACCAAATGAGCCATTTTCCATTGTGTTTTATTTTTATTTTTAAGACTATTGGAAATACTGCTTCGAATCTCGCTCTCTTCCTGGTGGCTCGAAGTGGATCGATTGGGTGCGACCATTTCTGCATCAAGTTGGAGATCATGGAGCTACCACGCTTGCGGTGAACTTGGCCGCTGGTTGTGGCCACCTCGCCTGTTCGTTGCCTGGAAGTCATAGCAATCGTATATCGATTATGGTTTTGTTCTGTCGCTTTTATTTCACTATGATTGTCGGGATGGCAGGGGGAGTAGAAATTGGAATGTTGTGAATAATTGACTTCAGGTTTTTGAGTCGCGTACTCAGTGCACCTGAATTGTAGAGAAGATATGAGATTTAATGTATTCCACCTGTTATCGTTGTCTGGAAATTACTTTGGCCATAAGTGGAGCGCAGTTCAAGGTTTTTAGCTTTCTTCATCAATGATTGTCAGGCTTTGTTGTCTTCACGATGGACATCATGCATGACGCACCTATCTATGATGGCGATGTTCGATTTCTTTCATCGATGACCATGCACGACGAACCTATGATTGCCATGATGTGTTTTCTTCATTGATGATCAAGCATGACGCACCTATTCAGTTTAATCAACTTCACTGTCACATTGCACTCTAAATCCGACCCATTGGTTCCAATTGCTGACTGGTGTAGGATCGGATTCCGAAGCACTTGCATGGAGCTGCGTTGTTGAATAAAATGTATGATCACCATGTAGAACGGTTACTTATTCGCCTAATGTATCCAGCTGCGACCACGTTAGAAATTACAATAGATCTAGCGAGACAAAGGAGAAACCGAGTGTGTTGGCATTGAATTCCGTGGTGGCATCATTTTGGGCTGCGTCGGTACATGACATGCGTCGAAATTAGTCTAGCCAGCTGATGAGCTATGAGGGCATGTGCACACGTCAATGGGCTTATAACACTCACTTATGCCTCGTCGGTCGGGGGCCTCACGGTGGAATTTCACGAAGTATTGTCAAATTTAACTCCTTTTTCACGATTTCGTCAAAATATGAAAATTTGGGAGTCCCAGGCCATCCAGATCAAAACCAACCGCTCTGGCAGGTTTTCGATCTACACCATGTTGACCAGCACGCGACGGCATATCGTTGGTTCTGCCGCGCGATGTACCGCTAGCTTGCCCGTAGACGCGCTTCAGAAAAGCAGGTTGATGACGACAGATAGTGATAAGGCGAAGTACACGCTGCCACCGCACCCACGGCTGATACCGAAACCCTCCGATGGTAACATCCGTCCTTTGTCCAACCTGCAATGACGTAATTTTCCTATAGCACCCCTCACTTATAAGGCAGACAAGTCTGTGGTTGAGAACTGGAAAATTGCGATGAAGACGATGGACGAGATGATGCAAGAAATAGACGCAAAGCGACCAAAGGTGTACCTGCCAAACAAATTCAAAGAGATGAAAGAATACAACGATACGGATGGGAAAGTTGTGGTGGGTGCCGACTCTAAGTTTCTTTTCCTTTGCTTTTCTGACCCTTGGAGCAATATAGGTGTCCAAGCTAGAATTGACACCCGTGGCCCAAGCCCCCGTGGTTCCTTCGCTCAAGGTGCAAAACTTGCTCGGGTCCGACTACGACGTCAAGAACGTCACGGGTGGCAAGCTTACATTGCTGATGACGTGCTTCAAGAATTCTGGTTTCGACAACCTGGTGGGGTGGCGGCAAGCGTTTGAAAAAGCGTTTGGCGAGAAGAACTCGATGGTTCAAATTGTGCAACTCAACATCATTGAGGAATGGTACGTCAGGCTTATGCCTGGGATGATTCGCCGAGGTTTGCAAGCCAAAGTGCCCGAGGAACAGCACAACCTGACGCTGATCTATTACGGGGAATGCAACGAATTCCGCGCGGCCATGGACATGACCAATACTTTCGTTGGCTACGTGCAACTCGTCGACGCCAAAGGTCGAGTTCGCTGGACCGCTGCTGGAAACATCACGCCCGAAGAAAGCACCGTGATGACACTCTTGACCTCCAAAATTCTTGCGGAAATCACGCAAAAACCCCGGAAATAGTCTCCAGTTGAACGCAACAACGATTGAATACGCATTAAAACTTAACTTGGCGGAGCAGCCGCTTGGCTGCATTTCGCCACGGGAGCGGTTGCCACGCGACCTCGGCGTTGTCAGTTCCTGTCGCAATGGAGGTCAATACTTATCCGGTCCGGATAAGTTTCCACTGTAATATGTTAAATTCGTGCACTGCCACCGCGATGGTAGTGGCTTCGTGGACTTGTGCGCAAGTCATCCAATGGCTCCATGACGCTGGATTTGACACCTTTGCAGAGGTACATTGCGCTTTGTATCTTGGGTTACATGGCTCACTGGGTGTCCTGGCGTAGACTTTCAGCGAGAACGAGATCAGTGGAGGTGGAGTGGACAATCCTTCATGACGCCACCGTAGTTTTCAGTTGCTGACCGCATCGTGGGTAGATGTCTTGCCCACTCTAACCAACGAAATCCTTCGAGATGACTTGAAGATATCCGCGTATGGCCACCGCGTCAAACTTCTTCGCGCTGTCAATGTGATATGGTGAATGACGACGTGGTCTCGCTCACGTTCGTGTGACAGGAGCTACTGAACATGGCACATGCTCCCAGCACTGCCTTCGAGGAGCCTCGTGCATTGCACCAAACATCTACAGAGGTCCATCTATATCGTTGTAGTCATGTACACTCATAGAGAAGCACAGGGCACCGTTTCAACGCGACGCTCGCAGTTGCCAGCATCGGCACACCAAATTCCACGAGTCCGTCCGACATGTTGCATATATTGGCAGTAGTCTTATGTTTCCTCTGAATAGATTACCATCCTGCCGCCACGCGACCTCCCTGAGATTCCAAAAGTTGGTCGTCGTCGGTTCTTCAACACTAAAGTTGGTCGCGACATTCGACTCAACCCAACTTACCCCCACACGGTCGTGTTTGCCACCAAGGGCAGCTGTGTGTTGTGCTTTTCTGACAGCACGAGCGGCCGGCGTCGTGAATTGTGCACAACGAAGAAGTGCTTGACGTGCCAGGTGCACTTGTGCACCAAGAAATTTGGTGATTACCCCTCGTCATGCTTTGACGCGTTTCATGAAGAAGAAACGCTCGAGATGCGATCGCGGCCGCCGCCACGGCCGCGTGTCACGTATATTTTACCAAATTGGGACCCGGCGAAAGATTCGTACGAGAGCTTGAAGCGAGAAGTTCTTGCCAGGCAATTCCAGCACAAGTAGCATCCGAGTTAATATATCTTTAGTCCCATTCCCCCCAATCATCTCCCCGACGCTCTTCGTTGAAGACATCGTCGCTTGAGATTTCCGCGGCACTGTCTTCCACAGTAGGAGGCCCTGCAACTTCGACGGGCGAAACTGTTGGCGCTGAGGTTAAGTTGGCTGCCAAAGCAACTTGCTTCGTCAGGTTGTCAATATCCGCCTCTTTCTCTTTCAGCTTTGCTTGGAGGGATGCCACTTGAGCCGCGGTTTCATCTTTCCCTTTGGCCACTCCGTCTTGAAAGGCTTTTGCAACCGACACCTTCAACTCGTCCTCGTGCTTCTTAAATGCGACGTCTGTCTCGTCCTTGAGTTTCTTCATCTTGACTGCTCGCGCCTTCCACACTTCCAACTCTTTCAACCCTTCTTGTGCCTGTTCGGCACTTGCCTTCAGCGATGCGTTCTCACGTCGAAGCGATTCGAGTTCGGCGTATACACCCTGAGACAGTGGAGCAGCGTCAACGTCGTTGCGACCAGTCGCAGAACCGTGCAAGGCCCAAATCTTTTGCGCCAAAGCAGCCGACACAAACTCAGGTGGCGATGGCATCGTGGCAGTTGGGACGGTCAAGCTCAACAAGTACTCTTCGATCTCTTTCAACTCGATGCGCGTACTGTCTCGAATTGACTTCACGATTTGCTCGCTCTTGGCTATGCCTTCTTCGTACCCCAAGGCTCTGGCATCATCAATTTGCGTCGTCATTTGCGCGAGCTTGACCTCGTACTCTTCGGCCAAGAGCTGGTGGTTCGACACATCTGCCTTTTCCAAACTCGCTATCACCTCTTGCAGGGCCACAACTTGGTCCTTCCACATCTGAACGTCCATTTCCTTCGCATGCTGCTCGGCACGTTCGCGTTCAGCTTGAGCGGCCTCTTCTTCCGCTTCTTTCTGGCGAAGTTCTCGCAGCTCGCGCTCCTTTTGGAGTTTAAGTCGACGCTCTTCGTCCCGCTTTGCCTGCTCCTCTTCTTGACGCAACTGCAAAAATTGACGAAAGTAATATCTACTCCGGAATTCAATATTCAGCCGTCACTAACATAGGGGAGTGAGCATCATTGCAGGTACCTCGTCCAGAATTCCTTGTACGAGAGCTGCTCGGGAACGAGGGCCGTGTGCAAGTCAGCAACGAGCTCATCCTTTTGCAAGATCGATGCAACATCGTCAGTCTTCAGGTCCAGGTCGAACACCTCTTGGAACGCCTTGTAGTCTTCCAGTTCTTCAAAGATGATCTAAACGAGCGACAGTGTGTTTCTCACATGTCCACGGTGAATATGCTTACCTCGTCAACAGGGTTCGTCTGAGCTTGGCTCATCGTCTTCAGCAGCAACTGAGCTTCATCTTGGACTTGCGCGACAATGCTCGTCGCGCGCTCCTGTACCTTTTCTTGGACCTGCTTTGCCGCTTGGTAAATCCACATGATCCTTGGAGAATGAAGAAGCCTCGAAATATCCGGATAAATCGAATCGCTTTCTGGCACTTCCCTTGAAAGCCGAATTCTCCAGAAGTGCCCTTGTATTCTGAAATTTTTCGAGGCCCTTCAAGGCAAGTACGGTTCCTCCGATAGAATTGCGTAGGTGGCCTATGGGAATCAACACACGTTCTTATTCTCTGCAGGCGACGAGCGTAGCATGAGAAACAAGTTCCATTCGAGTGGTCGCTCCTTGCGACGGGTGACCTCGAATACACCGACATTTCCCAGATCGTATGCGCATTTGAGGTGTACCGACACAACTGCTCTGCGAGCATGCGTAGTTGATGCACAGTTTTTGGAATTCATGATAAAAACGAACTTAAATATGTAGAGTATCTCATAACATGGTATGATGGCCGAGTGGTCTAAGGCGCTGGTTTTAGGCACCAGTCTTCGGGCGTGGGTTCAAATCCCACTCATATCAGTTTTATTCATTCGGAATATTCTGCACCATCGTGACCTTTCGTAAGCAAACGCGTTCTGGTCGGTCATGGATTTCGAGCAGGAGCTAAAGGAGCACGGCGTCAACGTCGTGTGCTCCAAGATGGACACCATCATTAGCGTGCACATTCATGGTGCATCGGGAAAGAGGCTGGTCGAAACGTTGCAGCTCGTCGACACCTTTGTCGCGTCAAAGGTGGCCAAGCTGGCAAAATCGTGCGAAGGCAGGATTTACTGTGACCCATGCTTTGGGCCGAACGACGCAGACGCGATGGGCATGTTGGCACTGTGCAAGCACGGCGATGTAAGCGTTGCTTTGTTTGAGAGGGGAAACATTGACCTGATGCCTTCGAATTCACAGGTCATTCCTTCGAAAGGAGGGAGTCAGCATCAAGCCAAGATCATCAAGATGGTCAAAGAGGACAAGCTGAAATGGCAGCGGCCCATATACGCAGCAGAAACCAAGGACGTACTAGACGAGAACGAGTACACGGCATGTTCTATCGACTCGGTTGACGATGTGGATAGGGACTCGGACAATCCAACTACGTCGGACGATCCCGTGTTTTGTGAAGAAGGTCAACTCTTTACTAAGTCTGCAAATTCTGGCGATGTCATTCAAGGCAACCTCGGCGATTGCTGGTTTCTGGGTAAGTAGCACTGCTTCGGTGCGACAACTGAGCAACGGAACCACCCTATCCAGGTGCAATCAGTGTGCTGGCAACGCGCATGGAGCTGCTCACTCAAGCGTTTTGGCGAGAAGATCAGTATAAAAAGCACGGCATGTTTGTGTGTCGCTTCATGAAGGTGAAGACATCGTGTATCACTCGGTTCAACACCATCACCTCCGCTGCAGGATTTTACGTGGCATTACGTCGTGCTGGACGACCGGATTCCTGTCTTTGGCTATACAAACAATCGGGCTGGGAAACCCTTTTTTGCCCGATGCAGCGACCCGAATGAGCTGTGGTAAAAACAGATGAACTATAAAGGTGGCACACTTATCAATGGCTCTAGGGTCCCTCTTATCGAGAAAGCGTATGCAAAGTTGCACGGCTGCTACGAAGCCCTCATCGGCGGCTACATTGATGTTGCGTTGAGTGACTTGACTGGTCTGTGCTCGGAACAGATCATTCTGAAGCCAGACCATCCTGGGTTTGGCGACGATCCGTTTGCACCCAAGCCAGGTGAACAGGCAGGCGATGGGTTTTGGAAACGGTTGCTTCAATACAAACGCAACGGCACTTTGATGGGGTGTTCGATTCAGCCTGATCCAAAGAGCAACAAAAACATTGTGGCAGAAGGTAGTGCTGGCCAAGGTACGCCACCGATTCCACTTGCGTGACCTCGCACTTGGTTCTGAAGCATTCGCAGGCCTGTACTACAAACACGCGTATGGGCTCGTCGACGTTGGCGAAATCCAACTCGACAACAACCAAATGCAGCGCCTGGTAAAATTGCGCAATCCATGGGGCATGGGAGAATGGGTGCGTGCTACAGGGAGCGTGGCAATATATGTGTAACCTGAACGTTAGACTGGCGCATGGAGCGACCAAAGTGACGAGCGTGAAAAGTACGAGGGTGAAATTTATCGCGTTTTCAAGTCTGTGATGCGGCAAGTGGGTGCAAACGTGTTGACGACCATGCACACCAAGCGTATGTGAATGATTCAACCCACAAGATGTAATATCGATATTTCTTCTAGGCAAAGTCCGTCTCGTGACGGAGCCGCAGGAAGAAGTCACCGAAGTGAATCAGAACGACGGGACGTTCTTCATGTCGTACGAGGACTGGCGGGCTCGATACACGCACTTTTTTGCAGGCATTGGTACGTACTCTGGAGTTAGTTTGAAGCAGCCAGGGTGACACGCTGTAGATTTTGCGGACGAGTGGTGTGGGTTGCGCGTGCATGGCAATTGGGACGACACATCGAACGGTGGCAACACAACCAAGTCGACATGGATCAATAATCCCCGCTATCAATTGCTCGTGAAAGAACGGTGCCATTTGTACATCTCGATGAGCCAACATGACCCCCGCGGCACGGCAGACCCTGCCATCTTCCCCATTGGGTCGGCAACCCTCCAGTCCATGACATCCACCTCATACATACCACCATAGGTTTCACATTTGCACGCTGCAAGAAGTGAAAGGCAACAAGTTCGAAGTCAAGGAACCGCCGAAAAAGGCTCCTCCGTACTATCGACTATACCAAAAAGCAAGTCAAGCAGGACTGTGCAACGGGACAATTCTGGAGCCAATTCCTCCTGCCATCATCCCAGGATCCGTCATTCCAGGCATCGATAACGATGGTGTGCCCCAGCCGTCGTATACGCTCAAGCAAGCCGTGACGGTACGCCATGCTCTCTACGGCGACTAGAAGCGAGATCGATATCTTTGTGTGGACGGGATAGGTCGACTTGGTGATTGAACCAGGGCATTATTGCATCATACCGAGCATGTACATGCGCACGGTACGCTGGAAACATGCGACTTGGATGTAAGTAAATGGGCGTGCTAGAACAAAGACACAGGAAGGACCGCCACGGGGCGATTCTGGATCTCGGTGTACGGTCAGCAACCAGTGTTTCACCTTGAGGGTGGGCAGCCCATCGTCGAAGAGGAGGAAATGCCCGAGAGCGCGCCCCCACTCCAAGCGGTAGCACCATCCTCCGCGATGCAAGCCCCCGTGTTTAAAGAGATATCCGTCCCTGGGGCGGCCCAACATCGTCAATTCGAAAACCTCAAGGACGAAATGCTGGCCCACGCCCGAGCCAAAGGTACTTTAACTTGCTGTGGCGTGGGGAATTGTGCTTCCAGTCACTTCGATCGAGTAGGGATCGGGTACCGTGAAGTCAAACGCGAGTTTGCGAACGCCGGAGCGCTGCGGAAGGCCGACTTTAAACGCCGCATGATGAATCTCGGGTTCAAGATGGACGAAATGAGCGACGACAAGGTCTTGATTCTGTTCAACGGGATGGACAAAGATAAAAGCAATACAATCCAAGCGGACGAGTTACTCGACTGTTTCATGCTCGACATCGAAGAAGACCGCATTGCGTCCGTCGTTCCAGAGAAGGAAGACGAGGAAGTACCAGAAAAGGTGAATCAAGAGGGCACGCTCGAAGTCCACGTCGTACGTGCGGTCGAAATTCGACTCGGCGATGAAACATGACGTGGCCTCCATTTTGCAGATTGGCGGCAAGGACTTGCAAAGTGCCGAAATCAAACAGCACACCCTCCCACTTCTCACGCTTCCATCCGTGTCATTTTCTTCCAAAGAAGCGCTGCGCCATGATACGTGTGCACTCGAAATCCTCGAGGAAAAACCAGCGCTCTTGCAAGACCTACACGTGGCGTTCCTGCACGCACTGAACGTCACCGACGCGACTTTTCACAAACGCATTCAAGAGCTCGTCGCCAAGTACAAACAGCCAAAGCAAAAGGTCAACCCCCGCGGCCCAAAGAAGAAGCTCATTCGACACGATACGACGCCCGTCCAACAGTTTTTCGATCTTGTGCAGGCCAGACTCGACGCGCTGGCTGCTGCGACCAACTCGAACAATTCCCCGCCAAAGGAAAAACAAGCTTCTGACGTGCGCAAGCCCTTCAACTGGGCAAACTTGGAGGCCACAGACACCTGCGTACATGTGCCAGTCATCTTGACTTATCCTTGCTTAAGTCAATTTCTCTAGGGACCTGCCGTAGTCGTGCGCCTGCCCACGACGGAACAAAAGTTACTCCACAGCAGCCCGTACATGCAGGCGCTCGAAACAAAGCGGTGGACAATGTTCCACCAAATTTGCCAGCGCAAGGCCCAAGTGTTTGGAGACAAACAAAGGCAGGCCAACTTGCCAAGGCTCATTGGCGGTCGAAAGAGCGGCACCAACACCGTGCACTGTAGCGACTGCAACAGGACCATCGTCGTATCGGGCAAGCAAGATCACGATCACATGTGTATGGCCCAAGGCTGCGTCAACTTGTTTTGTGCGCCGTGTTATGAGAAAATGGCCGCGAACGACAAGTTTTGCGACGACTGCTACTTGCACGAGAACGGCAACATCGAAGTGCTCGGCATGCAATTGCGAACGATGCTCATGTCCAAGCTCGCCGCGACAGACGTGCAACTGGAAGCGCTCGATCAAATCTTTCACTCGTTGGACGAAAACCACTCGGGAGACCTCAGTCGCGACGAATTCGTTCATGTAGGAATGGCCGTCAAGAACGACCCACGCGATGTTGCTGAATGTGGTGTCTCTAGTTGCTCGACAAGTTGCGCATGCACCCTCCGCTAACGCCAAATCAAATCGACGGCGTGTTTGAAGAATTGGACGTCGACAACAACGGGTCGTTGAGCTTTGAGGAGTTCAAAATGTGGCTCCTGGGGCGAGAAAGCATGTGGTCGCCACGAGTTCCTGACGACAGCGGCGAGGACATCGCAATACCGATTCACGAGCTCCTGTCACCCACCCGCGAAGCGATCGTGCACGACAAGAAGAGCGCTGGCCTCGTGACCTTTGTTCAGTCTGTCGTCGATGACATGGTCACGGACGCCTGTGGGATGTCGACTCGATCGCCATGGCTGTTCAACTCGCAACCGATAGAAAAACGTGAATTCGACAAGCAACTCGAGCGCGAGCATGTGCTGTTCCAACGACTCGGCACGATCCAACTCATGGACAACACAATGGACGACACGGGCGGGATCGCCAAGTTGTTTTCGAAATTTGACGTCAACGGCGACGGGTCGATCGAAATTGACGAGCTCAGCTACTTAGTGCAATCGATCGGGCTGACCGCGTCTCCAGTGGATCTACGGCTTCTCGCGCATCGTCTCCGTCGGGAAGATGATGGGACCATTCACTTAGCTGACTTTGTCACGTTTCTTCAACGTAAGTGTGGTCCGATGCATTCTGCCACAGAAATTGACACGATTGCTCCAGGCACAACTCCCTCGCACGAACGTGCTCTACTGGACAAGATCATTGAGCTCGAGCACCTGTGCAAAGAGCACCGCATCCAGGAAGCCGACGTGAAACACATCTTGAGGAACTTTTACATTGGCATGGATACACATGAACTCGCTTGGATGGCAAAACAGCTCCACGACTTGATCGGGTGGACGGTCGACCTGTCAATGCTCCAGCGCATCGCGTTGGTCTGTACGCCGTGCATTTTCGACACCAACGATTCCAAGGTCGTATGTGCTGGTGATGTCCTTCTGGCCTTGTTCAGTGCCCCCGCGGGCTTTGCCGGATCGCTTGCGAGCTACTCGATCCAGGCCGTGTCCGATGCGATCCAGCATCTTTTCAAAATTGAGTCCCCAGACGTCGAAGAGGACCTCGAGTGGGAGAAACTTGGACAATTGCCTCAAGCAGAAATGCCTCAAGCCAAGTTTGTCGAGTGTTTACTTCGACGGGGGTTAAAATTGGTCGGCGACAGCTTGGGCATCGAAAGCCAGGTGTGTGTGGCGCTCGCGCTGGACACGTTGCGGTATCGCGAAGGCGTTGGCCACACAATGTTCTCGTCCACGGTCACTCGCGGCCTTTTCACGTCGCTCTCTCGGTACACCCAGTCTGCATATTTGATCTTACTTGACGTGTTTGTGGTAGGTATTCGACTTTGACAGCGCTCGAGCAACAGATGCGACACATTTTACAGCAAATGGCACGCGTTGGCAGTGGTCAGCAGTTTTACCAGACCGTCATCACTCGAGGATCCAGCCCCGACGAAGCGCTCAAGGTGTATGTAATCGATCCGTCCGTACACCAGGTCATGATGCACGCGTTCCACGAATCGGACTTCTCGGTGAATGGCGTCGCACTCTTTGCAGACAACGTCGCGTACGCTCCTTCTTGAAACTTGGTCGGGGCCTTTCGCCTGAATCGATGACGGTAGTAGGGCGGCCATGAATCCATTTCAGCGCGGCGTCGTCCACGATTTGTGGTATCCCGAGCTGAACACGTACTTCTTGGGCCTCCTCAAGCGGTTTCGCATTTTGTACACCGAGGATAAGAAGACGCCGTCCCTGGCATTTCTCGAAAGCGACGGTAGCGACAGCCTTTGCAGCTCGATTCTTGCGCTAAGCATTGACCGCCTTGACCGCTAGCTCTCGTTGCGAAGTTGCGAAGTGTGTTTTCAAGCTACCGCGTGCCATTTTTCTGGACGGTGTCTGCCGCTAGCCTTCAAATTAGCGTCGACCATGCTGCCCTGGACCAATCGAAGTTGCGCTTGCTACCGTGTGTGATCCAGTCGATTTTGAAATTCTCCGCGATTGCTTCGTTCCTTCGACAGATCCATTCGACCATTCGTGTACAAATCGAAGTCATCGACAAGCCCCTTAGCATGTGGATGTCTTGGAGCGAATTTAAGTCGTGCCTGGCGGGACTGCAGAATGCATACACGTTTGTCCAGTTGCTTCCGCAGGGCGATATCTTCCACACGCCGCACGATGTTGGAGGTGGGTTAGCCAAAATGAATTACGTTATCTCTTGAGAGGATGCTGATTTCGAACGAAGGCGGGTGCACGCCTCAATGGAATTTTTCCACGAAAGTCACGGTCGCCGAGCCGAAAGAGTGCATTCATCGAACGGATCGACCGGTCGTGTACGTCGACACGCAGCCGATCCTGGGCAAGCCCGATAGCACGGGTGAAAACTTGATCCCGTTTACGACGTTGACCAAGCTAAACTCGTCGAAAAAGTACGTGGGACGCTGTACTTGCCGACATCGTTGATCAGTTGCGTGTAGCAAACAACACAGCAAAGGCGAGAAAAATCCGACGCTGCACTTTGTCGTGCTCAGTGTTCGTCGCACGGTGCCCAAGTCGAGCGACAAGCCGACGCTGTACTGCACCGCGTACGATCCGATCACTGCCAGCGACTACGAAGTCGTTGGAACGCCGACCAACTGGTACGATGTGTTCAGACGGCCCTGACTCATCCTAAATAATTAATCGTGCTCAGGCCGGTCAACTTCTTTGACCCGGACGTGAACAAAAACTACGAAGCCGAGTGGCTCGCGATGTTGGGCAATCTAAAGCTAGGTCGCACCATTACCCCCAAGCTATTCATCCGTGTGTACGTTTTTCATACGAAGTCATCGTGGAGTGCATGAGGAGTCTCATGAACTCGTATGGGCAGGTACAACAAGCAGCCCCGCAGCGACCAGTTGATTGGCGAAACGGAAGTGTCTGTTGCGTCCATGATGGCGCGCGAGGGGTATGGGATCAAATCGTGGTTTTCCATTTACGATCCTGTGACAGAGGTAATCCACCGCCAGAAGTTGGGCCATTTGACTTGATATGGCTGCGATAGAAATGCACGGGACAGATCGAACTGCACGCGCACTTTCAAATTCGCACGTTGGGGCAATCGGTGGAGACGCTGGCTCCTGTTCCACATGACAAGTCGATTCCAAAACTAATCGTGCCATCATCCAAGGTCAAGTTGGACCTGATCGTCGATTCAAAAGCAGCCGCGCCATCGCCGTCCGTGAAAGTGCTGCCTTCGTCCCAACAACTACCAACCAATTCCAACGAAGCTGCTCTCAAGGAGCGCATCAACGAGCTCGAGAAGAAGCTTGCATTGGAATCGAATATGGCTGCATCATCCGACTCGACCAAGTGGAAGAAGAAGTACGAGCAGCTCAAACAGCAAACGACCGACGAACAGGCTCAAGCCGAAAAAAAGTAGACAACGTGGCGACAAACGTTTTCACAAACTTTGATAGAGTTCAGCTGCTCAAGGAAGAAATCGTCGCGCTCAACAACAAGGCGTCAAATCCACTGTCTGTCGAAGACTTTTCCGCCCCTACTACACTGGCTGCGATGAAGGCAATCTTGTATTCGAGGTGCCCCGAGCGACCCTTCAATGGATTGAAGAAAGCTATGGCGGCCGTGGTCGACTCCCCTGGAAAGGTAAGTGTGCATCTTCGTTGCGAATGTGAGTAACCTCAGCATGCTGCTCCTTTGGACAGATTTCTATCGTGGCCTGTGAAGAAGTCCTTGATGACTTTGGCTTGGCCCTTAATGCGACTCAAAAGCGCAACTTATTCCGATGCTTGGACCCTGATACCGTCGGCGTGTTTTCTATCGAAGGTGGGTTCCGTTTTCTTTTTGATCGCAACTTTTGTTGCCCAGCTCACGAATTGGATGTAGATTTCCTCGTGAAATTGAATGGCGACATGGCGCGATCACTTTCCAAACAAAAGCTCGAGAACAATGGGACTCAAATCCCTTCTGCGCCTCGTCATGCATCGGTAGCATTTGCAGTTCAAGTGTAACCAACTTCTCTGACGTGAACGTAGATGGCAGTATCAAAGTCCAAGGAAATGCTGCCAAAACTCAGCGCCTTACACTCCACCTCCCACGACATTCCAGCTGCCTTGGACACGACTGTCAAATCTACTACCAACGTACACCATGCCCGTTTCATGTCGTGCTGTTCACGTTTGTTGCCCGCCTTAGAGTCACGATGGCCACACGTCTGGCTCCGAACTGGTGTCGCATGCCGAGCGTAAGGCGCTCGAAAAAGTAGGTTGTTTGACACGGAAGTGCAATTCACTCAACTATGATAACTGTGGTGGTAGATGGTGGACCAGACAATTGAGAACGCTCCAGTCGAGGTTGAGATCCCGTTCATCGAATACTTTGCTCATGCATTCGTTCAACGCAGGAGCCTCAAGAGAAACCAAACAAGATCAATCCAGCGGTGGACGACAAGGCCATCAAAATTGTAACTTGACCGTCGAATTCCCTGTGTAGTTATCACAAACGTAGGAGGCGGACACGGTAAACGTACCACGGAAAGAACACGCCACGCCTCGTTCGAATCACCCGAGTGACACTGAGGTCCATGGTGGAAACAATGTCGCCTTGGGCGACCAGAAAAAGGTTTGTCCACGTTAGATGCCGGTATACCCCGTTGACTCAATCGTGCACAGCCACCAAGCAAACCAAATGCACATTTAAAAGCTGCTGAAAAACTTGCGACCGAAATTCCGATTCAACCGATGGCACGTGCTATGCGTTGATCTTGAAAATAATCGTGGACACTGTAGACCAAGCCTGCTGCGGCAAAGCAGAGTAAACCTCCAAACAACCATGTAAATATCGTGATGATCGACTAAAAGATGAGCGCTCAAAACGTACGAACTAGGTGCAGTTTGCCAACGACGCGGAGCTACACAAGTACCTGGCGCAGCAACTGCCCGAGAAATGGGATATGCAATTCACCCCCAAAGGCAAACCTTATTTTCGCAACTTTACAACGAGGTACACACGACCAATAACCACGCAGTCCTGACCATCACGCCCAGATCCACGCAATGGAACCATCCTGTCGCTGATGTCGACGCATTGTACAGAGCGTATGTGCTCCAAAAGAAGGAAGGAGCTTCAAAACAAATCTCAGAATCTAAGGCAATAGGGTTGTGAATTGCATTGTTCATTTTGCGATGTACGGCCGAGCGCAGCAGTCTGGGCTCAGCATACCTTGGACAACATCCCAAAATAGTTTGCTCTTAAAGCGAATGGTATTTTCTGCGCCTCATTCAACATTGAACTTAGCAACACGTTTACGAGTGATGTGGAGACGGGAGTAACTGAAAAAATTGACCATCGACTACTTGACTGCCTTCGCACACACGAAGCGAGGGGCATTGTTCCCGCAGACCGCGTGCATGAGCATATTCCATCCGGACGCGCTTTCCGACGGCTCTGGGTAGTGTCGATCGAACCATTTGCCTCTAATTTTTCCCTTCTTGGCCTTGAGTGAGCCCAACTTTCCCGAAAGGTCGCCCTTTTCGCACGATTTCGGGTTGGCTTTGTACCCTTTCGGTGTGCAAGCGTAGTTTGGCGTAACCGCCTTGCACTTGTCTTCCGTAACATGCTCGGACGCAGGCCCGCACGCGTAATCTGGATCGTAATGGTTGCCCGTCTTGGCCAACGAACACTCGCCAAGAAACCCAGACGTCCCCGGCATATCCCATTTCGTGTGGATATGCCACCTAAACTCACTGATAGGGCCCGTGCAATTTCCATCCACTTTTTGCAAGGCGTCCCAGTGGGCTTTCTTCACGTCCAAATTCGCCGCAATCACCGCGCCAACGTACTTGGTGTGTCGGTACACGTACCGGACTTCGATGAAGCCATTGACACCACCAGCTGTCTTCGGGTCAAACATGTACGTCTTGGTCTTCGTCTTGTGCGCGTGGCACATGGCCATCGTGGCAAACATGAGCGCAAGCAGAACGAATGCCCTCACGGAGAGCATTTTGAAAAGTGAGGACGGCACTTTTCAAAATGCTCAATCCTCCCGATGACCTTGCCCAGAATTCGTAGGACGACACCGTTAGTCTGATTGGCTGATTTTTGCGAACGAACTACAAAGCTAGCTGCGCCGAAAAACATTTCTCAATATCGTCTAAAATTCAAAAAATCTTATATATACTATGAGCCTGCGTTGTGATTAGCTACACAATGGTAAAAAATGGCTGGCACGCGAATGCGGTGCTTCATTTCTCATATTTATAACCAATCAAACAAAGCATGAAAACATATATCGATTTGGTAATGATCTTGAGATATTTCGGACGATCTTAGAGAACCACTACAAGAGATGCAGTCAATCTGCGTTTGGTTGACCCTCTCTGGAATTCGCCATCCAACGGCGCGGCGCCGCTGGCGTATTGGAAAAGCCAGCGCGTTGCGCGATTGGCGACATTTTGCTCCGTTATTCCACTTCATGCGAAAATAATTCGATGAGAACGTTTAGCAACGGAGCAGCTTGTGAGGATTCGAGAGTTTAAGTAAGGTGGGTGAAGCAGGTACGTAAGTCGTCCATACTGCTGAATACAATTGTGCCGATGGAATTACCCATTCCTGGAACGACAAGTTTCGTAAACTCTGCTTAGGCCTCGCCGGCCACCATGCTGTAGGGCGATTACCCGGAGTTGATCAAGTGAAGCGTCATGAAAAGAACGAAACCGTCCGGAAAATCTTTATCCGGATAACATCAGCGAATTGCGCGCGCACTTTTGAATTCAACATGGTGAAGCGACAACGAGACGGAGACGGACGGCTTCCTCCAAACCAAAATGGAATGGGGTTTACCGGTGACACAGTCTGCGCGAACAATGCCGGTGGGCACAACCTCGACGATGAGTCCATGAAGGCAATGTGCCAGTACAAGGAATTTGTTGGAAAGAGATTCAAACTGCTCCCTTCGAGTAGTGCTTGCACGGCGGGACAGCAACTCAACGATCTGGTCGAAATTGAAGACATTGGATCAGCCATTGATCTATTGAATGAGATCCGCCGAACGAAAAAAAAAGATTTGGCGAGTTGGGTCGAGTATTCATCCCACAGCCTGAACGCATTGGTGACAACGCTTCTTCACACGAGCCACTTCCCGATTCAGTTGTGCATGTTTACGTCTCTGAGTCACGTACTCTGCGCATTATCGAGTCGTCAAGAGCTTCACAAAGTGCTTGACATGTTGCCGCCAAGTTTGCTGGAGGTTTTACCCATCTCGAGTCATCAAGAAATGTCGGTAAACCAAGTCCATCTTTCTACTTGTCAACGTCACAATTACAACGCAGGGCGACGCAATTCACGTTCGCCGTCGTTTAAACAAGCTGAATCGTTTCTTGGGGAATATATCTTCGTTTCGCATCACTAAATGTTGGGTTCAAGAACAAGACGGCAGCGCTGTGAGCAATTTTCTATATTCCTCAGAGACGATGATTGCCTGTGTCACTCGTAGCAACGTGTGAATACCGATGGTTGGGTGAATTTGGGCGGTCATGAAATATCAATTTGCAGAGATGCCGAAACTTTCGACGTGATTTGCGTTCCCATGAACGACATATGCGATATTCGGTTCAACTCTGAACAATGCTTCGGGAGGTTGTACTTCCAGCAGGGTGCCATCCTCTCCGTTGGTTTGATGCTAGATCCCTCGGTACTGTTCCTTCTTTGTTACTATAATCACACGCTGGATACGTTGACCAGAACTATGCCTCATTTCGCAAGCAAATTCAATCTTCCTTCCTCGAGGCAATCCGTGACAAGAATATAGACGAGGTACTCGGAAGATGCATTGTACTTACCCACTCGATATTTTTGTTAGCTTTCTTCGACGTTACCAATATGGCACTCGCGTGCACGTATGCACGTCGACCCTGACGTTGACACGATGGATCGACAATTTCATGACGATTCAGATAACTTCGGTGTTGATGTCCACGATCAGGACCATGAGCCATCATCGCGCATCGAAATGGATTCATGTGAAACAAGTTCTTATTGTCCCTCATCGGTTGATTTGTACATCACAACACTTCCACTGTTCTTTGACGACTTGAGCCGTCAAGTTGACAACATCAGGGGCTTGAGCAAAAAGTTTGAATCGACACACCAAGAGTTCGAAGACAGCTTCCGAATCAATTCTTCAAGACTAACTGACCTCATCTCAAATGCTGGCATGAAGCAAGTCGAGCGAGGACAGTTTCTGGGCGATGCGGAGTATCAACTCAAGTGCACGGCTCATGAACTTCGTTTGACCGAGCATATCGTTCTGCCGCAGTTGCATGCAAAATTGGTCAACCAAGCGACAGATATGGCTCAAGCTTTCGTGATGGCAAAAGAAACAACGCTATCAAGCTTTCAAGAACTCAAGTTCGACATGGACAAAGAGATGCCATCCAACGAGTGGATCACATGTACCTCCATCGTGACGACTATGGCGATAGCTTGCCCTTGTGTTCTGTTCGGCGCGCTCTCCATGGCTGCCTTTGGATACACTTAGATCTGTTCGTCTCGACGAATTCTCACGAGTGAACGAAGGTCTTTGGCCAAAGCGGTGGGCAGAGAAGTGAACGACTTGCAGTAGGGAATGGTCGCGACATGATATTGGCATTCGACATTTTTTATTTATCTACCGGTAAATATGAATGGGCGTTCAAGGTTCATTAAATTCTTTGTTTTCCGATATCTTGGGAAATATTACTCCGAGGAATTCTAAATAACCCCGTATAAATGAATTTCATATATAAAGTATCCACATTTCGAAAGGGCATTCAATCCTTTCGGAATCCACCGGCGCGGGAATGGGCAACGTAATTGGGATCAGTCCCAGCGACAACCAGGAAGCGCACCGAGCGTCGTTGATCGATGAAATCGTACCCTTCGACAACCTGAGCATCCACGAGGTCGAAATCTTCTGGAGAAACTTCTATGATCATGCATCCGGGTTTGCCATGTCCAAGCACGAGTTCACGACCATGTGCATCAATGTCGCGTGCCAGCTGAACAAATCGCCCAACCAGATGGCTCACGACGCGGGCGTTCTGTTTGACGTGCTAACGAAGGAATCGGACGCCAAGCTTCTCGACGCACTCGAGTTTCTCGCGAGCATTGTTTTCATCTGCACGGCGCCGCTTGACGACAAAATCGATCTCGTGTATGACAGCTGGGACATGTCCGAAGACAGTACGTGCCCATGCTTGACATCACATTGCGATCTTCTTCACACTTTTGCGTGTATTGCATCCACCTAGATGGCTTGCAAATTGACGAAGTTGTCATATCGGTACGATTGTCTCAAGCTCCACCGAACAAGATGGTCTCACTGAGTCTGGTAGCTCAAGTCTACGCTACTCGGGTTGGCGAAGATCATAGTGATCGAGGATAAACCCAAGACGACGGACACGCTGGACGACGACCCGATCCGGCGACTGGCCGAGATGGCGTTCCGCGACATGCTGAAAGTGTCTCCATCGACTCCCATCCGCAGCGAAGATACGATCTCGTGTGACGTGTTTCACGCATACTGTTTGTCCAATCCGGACGTGAAAGAACTCTTTGTGTGGTTTGACGCCGTCGAGCAAGACGTGCTCAACGGACTTGACCCGTTCGACATTCCCGATAGGTCGCTCAAACATGTCCTACAGATGGACCCAGACGCTGTCATCGAGAAGGATCTCGTGCGGGCGGCAGATCCCGGTGACGAATTCATGGCCGTCAAGCCATGGGAAGGTGCAATTGTCGCTCCGTCCAAAGTCACGCCTCTTGACCCCAGTGCCCCCGTGCTGAGTCTGTCATTGCATTGGATCTACGGCTACAACGCCCAAGTAACAACCCCACGGAAATATCGACAGTTGAGTTGACATGACGATGCATGCATCTATTAGGATACCTACGCCCGCAACAATGTTCGGTACACGAAGGGGGGGGAGATTGTGTACACAGCAGCAAGTGTCGGAGTTGTGCTGAACGCCAAGGCGAACACCCAGCGCCATCTCTTGGCCCACACCGACGATGTCTTGAGCATCGCGCTCCATCCATCGAAAGGACTCGCCGCCACCGGCGAGACGGGCAAAACGCCCAAGCTGATTGTATGGGACGTGACAACTGTCAAGCCTCTCGTAACTCTGAGGGGGTACCACTCGCGCGGCATCATCCAGCTTGCATTTTCCACAATTGGCAACGAGCTGGCGACGCTGGGTGCCGACGACGATCACAGCGTCGGCGTGTACACAACTCGGGATATGTGGCACACGGCGGAGTTGACGTGGTTTGCCAAAGGCAACAAGGCAATTCCGCTCCATGTGTTGTGGCATCCCACGGACGCCATGCAATTTTGCTGTCTCGGCGTCAAGTTCATTGAATTTTGGGACAAGCAAAAGTGTACCAAAGGCATTTTTGGAAAGAAAGGCAAACTCCAGCCTCTGCTGTGCGCCGCGTGGGTGCCACTGGGCACAGTCATGACACTTGTCGTGGGCACCAGCGACGGCGCGTTGTACTTGTTTCAGCGCCCCGAGCTTCGGTCGACCATCGAAAACGCGCACACCGCAAGTGTCCAAACCATGTACGTCCTAGACAAGACACTTGTCACCGGTGGAAAGGACGGCCAAATCAAGCTGTGGGTTGCCGAAAAATCGAGTCTGACGTGCCTCACGACCTTTGACTGCAATTCCTTGCTTGGCACTGCTGGAGTAGTGCTGCAAAGCTTATGCCTCTCACCGGACGGCTCGACCATCTTGCTTGGCACTCAAACATCTGAAATCTACGAGCTCAGGTAAGAGGTCGCACATGCACGGCAACCCGTTTCGGCAATTCTTGAATGCTTTTGAAATGTGTAGCGTCAAGGAGAAATCCATGTCGATGGCGCTCATGTGTGGCCACTCGGTTGACGAGCTGTGGGGACTGGCCACCCACCCAACGAAACAAGAAGCAGTGACGGTGGGAGACGACAAGTGGCTGCGCGTGTGGGACTTGACTACGACGAGAGTTTTGCGAAGCGTCAAACTCGAGTGCATGGCCCGCGCCGTTGCGTACTCGCCCGATGGAAAGCTCATCGCAGTGGGTCTTGGTGGTCAAGTGCCTGGCAAAGACAAAGCGAATAAACATCCAAAATGCGGGGGCGTAGTCGTGCTGGTCGCGTCGGATCTTTCCAAGGCGTTTGAGCGAAACGATACGAAGAAATGGATCGCTGATGTAAAGTTCAGTCCAAACGGTAGCACGCTCGCCATCGCTAGCCACGACTCGAGTGTGGTGCTGTACGACATGACCAAGCAGTGCGCGAAGAAGCACGCGTTCAAAAAGCACAGCAGTTTCGTGTCGCATTTGGACTTTTCCGCCGATGGATCGTACCTACAGGTGCGTGAATTAGGAAAGTTCACGCAACAACTAGCTGTGACTCGTGCGTGCGCTCATGACCGTGGTTTCACCAGTCTTGTGCCTTTCTAGAGCATTTCTGGCGCTTATGAGTTGTTATATTGCGATGTTAAGACTGGCAAACAAGTCACGAGCGCGTCGGCGTTCAAAGATGAACAGTGGGCGACGTGGACGTGCATCTTGGGTTGGCCAGTCCAGGGCATTTGGCAACCCGAAAGCGACGGGTCCGATATCAATGCAGTCGATCGATCGCACTCGGGATCGTTGTTGGCTACGGCGGATGATTTTGGCAAGGTTTGTTTACTTCTGTGGTCGAGCAGCATAGTGCTTGAACGAATCCCGATAGGTCAAGGTGTTTCGGTACCCGTGTGTGAAGAAATACGCAGGATTTCTCGACTTCCTCGGCCACTCGTCGCACGTGACAAACATTCGATGGTCGGCCGCCGATCAGTTTTTGCTGTCCACGGGAGGCCAAGATCGCTGTTTATTTCAGTGGAAACACGACATTGCTGTAAAGCAACCGGTGGCAGCGACCGTCCACAAGTCGTTCCCAAGTAATCAAGCCACGCATGACAGCCATGATTCGACCACCACTGCTTTGGACAACTCGGACGTTGAATTTGAAGTAAGTGGCGACGAATTCATGGCTGTCAAGCCGTGGATCGGTGCCATCATCCCTCCATCTGTCTTGCCCATGGTCGACAATACGAAGCCTCCACCTACAACGTTGACGCTGCAACACGTTCACGGGTAAATCCCGTTCGTAATCGCTCTTGCCTTCACGACGGCCCACAGGTATCAAGGGCAGACAGCTCTCAACAATGTTCGATATATGGAAGCAAATCGAATCGTGTACCATACTGCGGCACTTGGCGTTGTGTTCGACTCGAGTAGCAGCTCCCAGCAGTTCTTTCAAGTAAAAACGGCGACTCATGTTGTACCTGGCGCTATATGGAGTCGTGTGATATAGGAACACGACGATGATATTGTGGGGCTGGCACTGCACCCGAATCGCAAGACGGTCGCGACGGGCCAAATGGGCAAAGTACCAAAAATCCACGTGTGGGAGCTCGGGTCCCGAGGCAAATATGTGAGTTTGGCATGCTTGCAAGGGTTCCACAAGCGCGCCGTGCCGGTTTTAAGCTTCTCAACGGTGCCTGAGCAATTTAGTTCAATGGTTTTTGATGTTTCGAGGGTAGGACGGGACGACGTTGGCGTCCATGGGGAACGATGATGACCACAGCATCGCCATTTACAAGTGGAAGGAAGGACTGCTCACGGCATCGTCGAAAGGCGTTCGGAATACTGTACAACAACCCTCGTCGACTTGCATGATGCTTCTGACTTGGACCTTAGTTGATGCACTTGATGCACGTGCCCTCCACGAACGAATGGGTGTGTCTGGGAGACAAATTGATCACGTTTTGGTCGGAACAAGGGCGAAACCTGAATGCGAAGAAAGCAGTGCTGGGCAAGACCACCACCCCGCAGATGTTTTACTGCGCTGTGGCCATTCCAAGCGCTGCTACCAGCAAAGCGTTGTCCAAACTCGTTGTTGGCGCGCATGATGGATCGCTACTTGTCCTGGACGATAAGTGCGTATCCAAGGTGCTGAAGGCGCACACGGGTCCAGCCTATGCCGTCTTTGCATCTCGTACGAACGTCTGCGAAGAGGCATATGAACGGTTGGTTGAGGTCGATTCATTACGTAGCCACCAAGGCCGAGTGGATTAGCGGAGGCAAGGATGGCAAAGTAATCGTGTGGGACATCAATCTCAGCGCGCTGCACAGTTTTGACATCGCCGGACCGTTGACAAAACTGTTCAACATGTCTCCAGAAGTGTCGTCGAAGTTGCCGTCGGTGTTTGCTGTCCGCAGCGTGTGTTTTAACTCTGACCACACACGCATCCTCCTCGGAACGAGTGGCAGTGACGTCGTGCAGTTTGACCGGATGGGAACGAAGGCCACTGTTGTCACGCAGGGCCACTCTCAGGACGAGGTACCACAAATTCAACCCCGACATAGAGAACTCCTTTGTTTCATGCAGTATCTGATAGCTCTGGGGACTGGCTGTCCATCCAACCAAACCTGAATTCTGCACTGTGGGCGACGACATGACTTTGCGGGTGTGGAGTACCGAGCACCGCCTGCAACTCCGCATGAAAGCCTTGGATTGCGTCGCTCGCGCGTGCGCGTATTCCAATGGCGGCGCGCCGTTCTGCATTGCCGTGGGGTATGGTGGCCGCATAGGCAGCGGCAAGAAGAAGCACCAGAAAGAGGGTGGGCTCGTGGTATTTCGAGACGCAGACACGTTTGACGTTCTGTATGAGGACAAGCCGTCCAAGGAGTGGATTTCGGAGATCAAATTTTCCCCGGACAACTCGATTTTGGCGGTCGGGAGCCACGACAATGCAATCTACTTGTACGCGGTCGTTGCCAACGCGAAATTTACAAAAATGAAGAAAATGTTTCGCGGCCACAACAGCTACATCACGCACTTGGACTTTTCTAGCGACAGCAAGTACATCCAGAGCAATTGCGGGGCGTACGAGCTCCTGTTTTCCGACGCCACAACGGGCAAGCAAGTCACGTCCGCCCGTAGCCTGCGCGATGTCAAGTGGGACTCGTGGACATGTGCGTTGGGGTGGCCCGTGCAAGGCATTTGGCCAACCTGTGCCGACGGCACGGACATTAACGCTGTCGATCGGTCGCATTCGTGTGACCTTGTGGCGACAGGCGACGACTTTGGCCACGTCAAGTTGTTTCGGTTCCCTGCAGTCGCCAAGCACAGTGTGTCCTACTCGTACTCTGGTCACTCGTCCCATGTGACGAACGTTCGGTGGCTCGGAAGCGATACGCATGTGATTTCGACGGGCGGGCTCGATCGAACCATCATGCAGTGGAAACACGAACGAGTGGATGCCGCAGGTAACGATGACAGCGACATCAAGTCACCGCTGTCTCCGTTCAAGACGACCACGACCAAAGCCGACGAAAACGACGATGTAGGAGTTGTCCAGACCTCGGTGCGTCACCAGCATTGTGTTGACTAATTGAAATCCAGGACGACAACGACTCCAATGAAACATCTCTCACCGGAGCACGAGGCAACGTGGGGTCGCAAAACGACAACGCGCCGTTGTTTGATGCGGATGCGGGCGATGAGTTTATGGCTGTGAAGCCTTGGATCGGCGCAATCACGGCACCGAGCAATCCACCAAAGGAAAATCCACGAGAGCCAGAGGTCACGATGCATCTCGACTGGTATGTTGGCAGTCATGCCTTGGAGCGATCGACCGCGTCCTCGATAGGGTGTTTGGATACCAGACCGAGCTGTCACGCAACAATTTGAGGTACAACGCCAATGGTCAGATCGTGTACCATGCCGCGGCCGTCGGGATCATGTACGACCGAGACACCAACACCCAAAAAGTACGCGACTTTGGATCGATGCAGTTCGCAGCTGACATGCCGTCATGGAGTAGCACCACTTAGGACACACCGACGACATCTTGTGCATGGCCATGTCTCCATCAGGACGATTTGTGGCGACGGGGGAGCGCGGCAAAAAGCCCACGGTGAGTTGTACTCGCTGCACGACTTCTCTTGTTGAAGAGAATTCGTCGTCATGGTGGTTGGTGGGCAGATTCGTGTGTGGGATGCCAAGTCGGGCGCGACCTTGAGTGTCCTGGCAGGGTTTCATTCGCGAGGGGTCGTGAGCGTCACATTCAGCCACGACGAAAAGACGATTGCCAGCGTTGGCGAAGATGACGACCACAGCTTGGCGATTTGGGAAGACAAGGGCGGCGCGTGGAGCAAAGGCCAGCTCGTGACAACGGCAAAAGGCGACAAGAACGTCAATTTGTTTGCGATTGCGCTGCCTCGGCTGATCGTGACGGGCGGTGTCAAGCACATTTTATTTTGGACTCTGCAGGGGAAAACAGTGTCGCATGCCAAGGGCCAATTCGGCAAACTTGCGACGCAGCAGCCGCTCTTGTGCGCGTGCAGCTTTTTTGACAACACGACTCTGACAGGGGCCGAGAATGGCGACTTGTACCACTGGACGGGCAACACCGTCACCAAGAGCGTGAAAGCACACGATGGCGCGCTCTCTGCGTTGTATTCTGTCGTGGCGGACAAGGCGTACATGGTCGTATCTGGCGGAAAGGATGGCAAGGTGTGCGTGTGGAACCAGTCCCTCCAGCAAACGAGTTCGTTTTCCATGGATGCGACCGTCACGTTGAGCAGTGTTCGGGCGAAAACGATCAAGAGCGTTGCGTTCGACTTGTCGTTGAAAAAGATCTTGGTCGGCACGCTCAGTAGCGATGCCTTCGAGGTCGACATTGCGACGGGCCAGCTGGCCAAGACGATTGCGAGCGGGCATTTTACCGGGGAAACGTGGGGCTTGGCTGTGCACCCATTGGACCCGACGCAGTTCCTCACAGTGGGCGACGACAAAATCGCTCGGCTATACGACCGCCAGACAAAGACGTCCGTTGTCCTGATGGAGTTGAATGACATGGCGCGGGCAGTTGCGTTTTCACCGGACGGAACGATGCTCGCGATTGGGTATGGCGGAGACATGGGGCGGGGCAAGAAGAAAGGAGGAATGGCTGGCGCCATCGGGTTCTACGAGCACCCTTCGACGACCATCGTGTTTGAAGACCACCCATCCAAAGCTCCCATAAGGTTGGTGGTAGCATAGGCGTTTGCATGGCTGTTGGGGCTGTCAATGGCGTGCATTGTCATTGGATTTAGACTTGGATTGACATGTTCTAATGCCGCCATTTGCTTTACAGCGACGTCAAATTCAATGCGTCGGGGACGATGGCGGCGTTTGGATCCCATGACACCAAGATTTACTTGTACTCGATCGACTCGTCTACGCCGCCCGGCGTTGTCCAAAAGCACAAAGTGTTTGACGCGCATAAGAGTTCGATCACGCACTTGGACTTTTCAAGAGACGGCAAGTACTTGCAGGTGCTTCCCCTTCACTTTTGCCATTCGTTCCTTATACGCACAACAGTCGAATTGCGGTGGATACGAACTGCTCTTTTGCGACACGGCCACCGCGAAACAAATGAAATCGGCACGCGCACTCAGAGATGTCGTGTGGGACTCGTGGACGTGCGCGCTGGGATGGCCAGTGCAAGGAATATGGCCGGAATTCGCGGATGGCACCGACATCAACTCGGTGTGTGTGTCCAACTCGAGGACGTTTGTGGCCACCGGAGACGACAGCTCCAACGTCAAGGTGTTTCGATATCCCTGCTTGACCAAAGGCGTACGTGCTGCATATCGCGATTTCTGCGCTCGTTTCGTCGTCTCCAGCGTGGAAGACTTCTTCAATGGGCCATTGTGTAGGCAAAATGGATCGTTGGCCAAGGCCACTGCTCCCATGTCACCAATGTTCGATTCACGCGGGACGACAAGTACATTGTGTCGACGGGCGGTAACGACCGCGCCACCATGCTCTGGCGACTTTCCGATTGAATTGAGCCCAAAGGATTTGTTTTCCATGGCTTTACTAGATTAATTTGACTTCCACACACACGCACTTGCACACGTCCTCTCGGATGACCAGTTGTTTCTACAACACCCACGCACTTGTCCCATCTGGGCAACGGCCATTCAAATGCCGTCTTCGCAACTCGTGCTCGAGAACGCACTGGAGGTGCGACTTCGACAGCTCAGGGTGCGCTGAGGAGTGGCCGCGACGAACGGCAGAGGGTACCACTCGTCGTTGGTCGACACACGGACATGCGTGTTGAGCGTGTCGATGGCCGCGTGCAGTTCTGTCGGGATGTACACGTTGCGTAGCTGACGCTGAAGTGTTCGGTTCGTTCGCGAGAACTTTTGAATTGTTTGGATGGCCAGGAGCGTCAGCGTCGACGGCGTGTGGTTTTTGGTAAAGCGAAACACGTCGCTGTTGCGCTCGTCGCCGTTGGACCCGCCAAAGACATACATCGAGTCGCCGGAAACAGCGCTCGTGTGGAAATCTCGAGCGTCGGGGGCATTGCTGTCGTCGTCCTGAACGAACATCGTGTCAGACCAACGGCTGCAACGCGGAGCATGTTATCGTACCAGTTGAACCCACGTCGACGACGCAACGTCAAATTCGCTCAGTTCATTCAATCGCATGCCAGTCTCGTCCCGACCTCCAAATAGGATGAACTTGGGCGATGCAGACGTGTTGTTGTACACGGACACCGTGTGCGCGATGCGGGAGCATGGTAGTGCGCCAGTACACGGCACTGGGCTCCAAGTCGACGTGAGGGTGTCGAATTTGTGCATGTCGATAAAGCCCTTGGGCGGGTCGTACAGCCCACCGCCGATAATGTACATGTCGTTGCCGACAACGACTGCCTGATGCTTGTAGCGAGGGGACGGCTTGGCGCCATGGGTGGTCAGGAGCACCCAAGAGAGCTGCACTTCGTCGAACACGAACAGGTCGTTCACGTACACGTGGCCGGACGTGCCGCCAAAGAGATACAGCTTGTGGTTGATGGACACCATACTTTGGCCGTAACCTGGTGGCGGGTGTGTCCCTGTTGTCGGCACGATGCTCCAGTCGTGGGTATGCAAAGAGTACTGGAGCAGCTTGCCCATGTTGGTCTGGCCCCAGTGTGGGCCGCTGCCACCGAACAAGTACAGCTTAGTCTCGTCCGTGGAGCTGCACCACGCGTGCGACGCTCGGCCATCTGCGCGCGACTGTGAGAAATGGACTTGTCCTGACGGAAGTAGTACCTGGCATGATACCGCCACGATTTTCTAGCTTGGTCCAGTGATGATGGGTCAGGTTGAACGCGTACAAGTCAAAGTGGCAATTCCCTTCGTTGTATCCGCCGAAGACATACATGACACCGCGCACTGCATCATGGCATGAGGAATGAAGCTAACGTAAATATTAGGCAAAGACGACGACGCACCCACGACTGAAGCATGACCGCTCCGAACGGGTGGTTTGGTGCCAGACACTTGAAGCTTCGTCCAGTCTGTTTCTACATGCTCAGCCGTCAGGACTATTTCGTTGCGTGGTTGATGCGAGAGATCGACAGCGTACCTTTTACAGTCTCTTCTGGGTCATCGTCGTCGTCGTCGTGGTGGCCGTAACTTAAGCTAAAACCGAGGCGGCGTGCGAGACTGGACTGTGCCCACCGTGGGCTGTTCTTGATGAGCTTGAGGAGGTCGTCGAACATGGCGTTCCTTTGCGACGGATCAAGTGAGCGAGACCGAGGCGGCAGCACGGTGGACGCCGTCGTTTTCTCTGGTGTTTCGATCAGTTACGATCTCGATCCCCTGCGCTGAAAATAGTTTTGCCCAATCACAATCGACCAAGTAGGTGACCACACCAAGGGGTTTCGCCGGATTTCGCTGCAACAAGATCGACCGCGGCGCCTGCTTGACGTGGCAATGCGGGGCACAAGCGCGATCGTTTCGTAGCCGCACGTGCAGTTCTGCCTTGCTACCACCTGGCGTTTGCATTGTCGCCCGGCATGGCTTGTCCTGTGTCAAGTCAACCTTGAAGTTTAGCTGGAGAACTCTGTCGAGCAATGCCATTGGGCCATTTGCCGTGATACAAACTCCGAGGCACGCCAAGAAATCCCTGCGATCTTCGACTGCCATCGCGACAACGATATGGTGCAGCAACGATTATCCCTTTCTGTTTTGTGGTCGGTCGCGCCCCCGCAACCAGGCACAGATGTTGGCATTGTCTCTTCTTCGGCATTGCTTGGCGATCGGTCTGCCTGAACAGAAGTCGCATGGCAATTGCCTCAGACGCATCACTCCCAAAAAAATCACTCCCAGATCGTTGTTCGTGAGAATTGTACATTTTGTCAGCTCCAATGATCGATCTCCCTCGCGTGATGTACAAGGCCCGGCAGTCCTCTATAGACACCGCCATGCCCACATCCTCGTCCGCGCTGAGAAGTGGCGAGTGTGTACGGCAAGGCGTGAAAAAATAATGGAATTTTACGGTGGACGGTGCAGTGATCACATGCCCCCAGCGCAATGGGTTTGCGGCGAGTTGGCCCAGCTATGGTCACTCATGATGGCGCATTTCACTCCGCAGATCGCACCCTCAACGTAGCGCATCGGCGCAAGAGCTGGTTGGACATTGCGACAAAATCAACGCGCTTTGATTGGTTAAATTCAAAAAAGAATCGAATCGGATTGGTCAATATGGATTATTTTCAAATGAACTCGCTGCACACGGCCGACATCAACCCGGCGACCGGCGCGCCGGTCTTGGATGCCGATGAGCACATCCTTGCCATGTTTCCATCTGTGCGTATGTTTACCAATACGTATGGACCGAGTGACGATGACGATGCATCCCCGTCGATGGAATCGAAAGGCACCGGAAACCTCTTCGTCTCGTCCGCGTAAGTCCCGAACGACAGGTCGGGTTGACATCTGCTGTGTTTGATCGAATGGTTGTCCTCACCTGTAGACGGGTGTTATGGATCTTTGATCAAGACGCCACTGGTGTCGTGGGATATGCATGGGATATGACTTATCTGTCGTTGCACGCGATCTCGCGCGACGTGAGCACATTCCCCGAGGCTTGTCTGTATTGCCAAGTACGCATGACCACAATCATGGATGAGTGTGGTCATGTTGCTGTCCATTTAGCTGGATGTGGAAGACGAGGTCAATGAGATTCGATTTGTACCACAAGACATTGACAAGCACCGTACGACGTCGTTGCAGCGCATGCGCTTTCTCGATGTTCCCATGCCTTGTCAAACTAACACGATGACGACGTTCTTCATTAGTTCAGCCCATGTTTGATGCATTTTCAGCCTCTGCTGCACTCAACCCCGACGATGACGACGACGGTACGACAGCATTCACTCGAGTCTTATTGTCTTGTTTCGCATAACCACAAGGGCATCATTAGATGCCGACGGGCAAGGTGGCGACTGGATTTACAACGAAGATGAAGTCGTGAGTGGGGCTCGTGAGGTACAACGAATCACACGATCTTCGAGGAACCGTGGATGTTGCCCTCTTTATTGCCGGATTGGCTGGTACAGTTGCATGGTGATGTGTGGTGCTATAGGCGAACTTGGCGGCACATTTCGACTCTATCTTGGAGGTCGTGCCTTCGCTGGACGATGGTCACGTTGCCGGGCAGTTTGACGATGCGCCCGATGACGACAGCGGCGACGACCTTCTGTAACACCGAGTGTCCATCCCGACCCCAAGGGCCTCTTCGACGTTTACATCGTCGCACAGACGCATTGCTCAATAAAAGTTTTGCCTCAGAAATAGCACTCGCGCTGGAGCGGACACCCAACGCGCTACATTATGTAAGATGCCCATTCAGTCGTTATCGAAAAGCTGTGGAGTGTAGCTGGACCGTTCGTCTTGTCCTCGGGGGGACGGGCGGCGCTTATACTTTGTGGACCATGTTTTCTTTGTTGATGAGGTGGCAGGTGGTCTCTACGAGGCGCAGCAATTCGGAAATGTCACTCGACCAGTTTGTGAGCAATTCTTCTGGGCTTTGCATCTTGTGAAACGAGACGATTTTGGCCGGACGGTCAATTTTGGCATAGACTGACCCGCTGCTGACCAACGACGAGATGCGCGTTTCCGTCATCTATATTCCCACGTGAGTTGCATGGATGGACCACAAGCGACGCAAAACCTACCTCTTCCGACAGCCCAATAATCTCGGCCAGGTGCGGCAATCGAATGCGCTGGTAGTGTTCCGACACAACGCGGATGTTGTGCTCGGTCGTGCGCGTGTGTACGTCCTGCAGCCACTGCGCGCCCAAGACGGTATGCTGAAAGATCGAACTGCTCTTCTCCAAGTCCCAGCCTGGAATCGGCAACGGGAACGGAATAATTTCCTTGGTCGTAAACAACTTCATCAACGTTGCAAACGCAGGCAAGTCCAAACGAAGTGGCTCCCGAGCAAGGCGGTGCAACATGTCCTGTTGCAAGTTCGAGTGCGGCGAAATGATGGCAAACAGCATCGCATGCTTGAGCGCATCGTGCTTTTCCTCGACCGTGAGCGTCTTGGTGTTAAAGATCGACTGGTAGTGGCGGCACAGCTCCAGCGGATTGTTCTCGTGTGTGTCGTACTCGATCATGAGCTTGTAAAACTTGATTTTCACGGCTTCAAAGTTGTCTTCCTCGAGAACGCGACGAAGAATCTTCTTGCTCAAAATGTACGCGCGCACATAATCCTTCTTCGCTAGCGTCAGACGCACCTGCTCCAAGATGAATTCGGCTTTCTCCAACTTGGTCATCGCGCCGTATGTTTCGACGTGCACTTCCTGAAGAATGTCCGCAGCTTCGCTGATCAACCCGTTCTTTTCCTTGATTTGACTCAACCATTGCGTCAGCTGTGCGCGCTCCTTCTCCAAGAAGATGCGACCGTCCGCCACCGTGCGCAGAGCTTGGATCAGCTGTACTCGCAGTTCTTCGGTGGGGGCGTCGTCGATGAACGCAATAGCAGTCGTCACGATCTTCCCAATTGCTTGACTCTTCTGAGCGCGACGTTTGCACAGAAGCGTTACATGCTCGATGAGCAACGTGAATTGCTTGTGGGTGTGCAAGAGGGTCAACACTTCCACAACCAACGTCGTGAGCGACGCCAAGTCGTTGTGCAGTCGACTCAACTTCTCCAATGCGAGGAGCGCTTCGATTGCGCCAGCGAGGTCACCCGACGCTGCTTGAGCGCGTGCCTTCGGGATCAGGGCCGCCGTTTCTGCGCTGTGATCACTCTTCTTCAGCCCTTCTTCCATGGCACTTGGAGTATTTCTGGCCGCTCTTTAGATATTGTATCCGAGTATGCATTGTCAGAGGGCATTCACCCATGCATCCATTTTTACAGGTTGCCGCGTTGTGACGGCGCCATGGCGCGCGTCCTCATCTTGCCTGGAAACGGATGCACCCCCGTCGAAGACTGCAACTGGTATTCCTGGCTGGCGAAAGAGCTCCGAAAGCGCGGATGCGAGGTAACAGTGTCTTGCGGCCCCATCAGATGATCTGCATTAGGTAGTGTTAACCACTATGCCTGACCCGTACACTGCCCGCGAGTGCATTTGGCTTCCGTTCATACGCGACGTCATGAAGTGTGACCGCAACACTGTAGGTATATCTTCCGATTACCTTGGGTCACAATATCATGGAGTAGGTTGTGGTTGGTCACAGCTCGGGGGCACAAGCTGCAATGCGACTTGCCGAATCGACGGAATTTTGCGGTAAAACCACGTCAACGTGATTTCGCATGTTCGCACTCATGTGAAGTGCATATAGGTTTGCTTCTCGTATCAGCGTGCGTGACGGATCTAGGTACGTTGCGTCCTCTCACACCATTTACTACATTCTTCACGCAGGCGATGCCAATGAGCGGGAATCGGGGTACTACAACCGCCCGTGGCAATATGACAAAATGAAGGCAAATGTACAGTGGATCGTTCAGTTTGGTTCGCCAGGTGAGCTGAATGTCGATGGCAGGAAGACTCCATTGATGGACAATCCATAGATGACCGGTTCATTCCCGCGAACGAGCAAAAGGAAGTGGCGGAAGGAGTGAGCTCTGAATTCCATTTCCTGGCTGGTACGTTCTCGCCATAGAACGCTCTCGGCGCAATGCATGATCACCTTCCCGGTAGGCAAAGACCACTACATGACGGAGGAAGAGGACTTGATCTTGGAGGTGCTCGTCGAGAAGTTGCGGCTCTGAATGACCTCTGAGAGGATTGGAAACGTTTGATTGGATGTAAATATTTATTTCAGCCAATCATACAGAAGTATCTTCAAACGACCCAACGTTGGCGATCCCGCGGCCGAGGATCGTGATCGTGCTCGGCACCAACGTCCCATCGGTGGAGAAGTATTGGCTCGCCCAGGGCCTGCGTCGCAAGAGGGCTTGAGGTGCTCAACCTTGGTTAATGCACGCCATCGTAGTTGAGCTAACAGCAACCGAACTCAGAGTGTTGTGCTCCAGGACATACCAGGCCCATACGTAGCTTGAGAGTCTGCGTGGGGTCCATTCATTCGCGATGTTGTGAAATGCGATGAAAACACAGTAGCAACACATATGTGATGTGCATTTGATTCTACAAACGCTAAGGGGTTGTTGGACACAGCTCTGGAGCTCAAGCGGCTATGAGATTTGAGGTAGAACACCAAACTGCTAGGAGAGATTGGAGTCGTCGACGCGGCTTGTATGAGGCGCTGAATGCTGAGTGTGCGATGCCATTTAAGACTGGTCCTCGTTTCTGCATATGAGACTGACCTCGGTATACCACAATGAAGTGAACGAGAGACGAACATGGTTGGGTAGGCAACACGAACGAGTATCAGAATACTATTGCTGGCCGTGAAATTTTGACCAGATTAAGTCGAACGTGCTGTGGGTAGTTCAATTTGGCTCTTGAGGTAGACAGGTCGGCGTAACCCCTGATGGCTGATGGTTGCAGTCGACCCTTTTGTGCCCTCTGAAAAGCAAAGTCAGATCGCACACTGCCACTAGTTGCCTCGCCCCGGTGACCATAGTTGGTACAATGTACAAATGCCTTGCTTGCGGAATCCGTGCCGTAGGGTATGACCATTTCATGACGCCGCAAATCCCAAATGTGGTGGACGCGATCTTGCAAAGACTAATTGCCACCTAGCGCACATTTGTTGCTACAAACTAGCTTACTCCCCATGAGATAGAATAATGACCTCGAACACGCCAAGTCCAGACCTTACCCTGTGTGGCAGCCGTGCGTTTCCTTTGCGAAGCGAAGTATTGCGAGGGAATGCCGTAGAGAAAGGAAAATCGCATCCAGCCATACCTGGATGCATTGAGGGCGTGCGCTGTTGTATCGCCTTATTGCCATCGAGACACTTGTCTACATGGAAGTGCCCTCGTTCAGCTTTGTGCTCATGACGTGGAAGACGGAGATTAATGTTGAGGAATAATATGTCGAAGGGTTCAGAATATCGCATCATGTTATAGAGGTACTGTCACCTCCATAGAATAATTGATTGCCCGATGGCGGCCTCGCGACCTCATGCCCGCGGGGGCATGGTGTTTGGCTCCGTGCGCCCTGGTCTGGGACGAAAGACAACAGATCGAGCAGATGCGGTGTGTCAAAAGTGTCTGCAAAAGGGTCACTGGATGTTTGAGTGCCAAGGCAAGCCAGCATACGTCAGTCGTCCAAGTCGGTCGAAGCAACTCGCCAACCCTAAGCTGCGCCAGCCGTTTAACACGGACAAACCACCTGAGCGAAGCGTGTTTCAAGCAGGAAGTAAAGCCATCGATGATGGGAAGGCCAAGAAAGTGTCCAAAAAACGAAAAGGCGACGACACTTCGTCCTCATCGTCGTCGTCAGACTCGCCGAGCTCGTCAAGCTCGTCCAGCTCATCCAGTTCATCCGATTCATCCGATTCATCGTCATCTTCAAGCTCCGAAAGTGAAGATGAACGACCACGAAAGAAGCAGCGAGATTAGTTCGTTCCTCAAAGTTCTAGGTATATGAATTTTCCTGTGGAAGTCGATCCTGCACTCACCATGAAGCTACCTGCTACAAGCTGATCAACTTGATCAAATCCCACCTTGTGACTACTTGGTCCACTTTAGCAGCGCAAGGGAAACAACCATCCTTGTCCTTTGGCGAAAACTCGAAGCCGTTGGAAGATGGCAATAGCGATGACAACTTCCAGATTATTGGCACGTATGTTGTGCGCGACACACTTCTTTTTCAGAATACAAATCCTATGGCGAGCAGGCGACCGAGGGGCAGGCCAGTTGAATCAACCTCATCCACATGAACAGCCACCTCGCTTGTAGATGTCGCGGGTTTGTTCGGTTTATTTAGATTTGCGAAATTGCTTGAGCCCTGGAAAAATACCCTTAAGAATAAATACACTTTTCATTGTATTTTTCCCAAAATCCAATGATTGTAAAAAATTCAAAGCCAAATTTTTCCTATTTCCCTTTATAGTGAATTTTCTTTTTAAATGGATACGCAATACAGTGCCTCCACTTCGGGATGTTTTCCTCCACAAATGAATATTTAAAATCCAAGTGTGTGGGGTCATTATTGCGAGAACGAAGTCCAAGCCGATCTTGTGCTGAAGAAGAATGGCGCAACGAACACAATCCCCTATCGTGACGGGCACGTCCGTCATTGCTGTCAAGTACCGCGGCGGCGTTCTTATGGCAGCAGATACTTTGGGGTCGTACGGATCCCTCGCTCGCTTCACGGACAACAGACGCATCATCTCGGTGCACAACTCGACCTTGGTCGGTGCCGGCGGGGAATTGAGTGACTTTCAGTACCTGTCGGACCACTTGGACGAGCTGGCAGTGAACGACTTCAACCTTGACGACAAGTGCGACTTGACCGCCCCCGAAATCTACCACTACCTGCAGCGTGTGTTGTACCAACGTCGCAACAAGTTCAACCCGTTGTGGAACACTCTCTTGATCGCCGGCATGGATAAAAATGAACCGTTCCTTGGCCAAGTCACATTGATTGGATGCGCGTTCACAGGAGACTTCCTTGCCACGGGATTTGGTCACCTCTTGGCGACCCCCATCTTACGCAACGAGTGGCATCCTGATTTGACGGAAGAACAAGCGCGTCAATTGTTGGAAAAGGTCATGAAGGTATGCTACTACCGCGACTGCCGCGCGATTAACCGTATCGTGATTGCACGCGTGAATGCGCAAGGCACGGCGTTCTCTGAACCATTCGCCGTCGACACGAAGTGGGACTACGCGTCCTTCGTCCAGCCCAAGTCTGGCACGGGCAGTTCGTGGTAGACCAAGCTCGCTTTCCTTGCAAAATGAAGACAATGTAGATTCTCCAAAAGTGTACGCAAGACTTCGCTTTTGGAGTAATAAACATGAGTTCTACTTGGGTTGTGTTGCTGGAGGAACAGGGTCATGGTGGTTGGCACTACGAAATGCTACAGCCGACGACGCTCGTCGCCGCTGGAGGACCGCACGCTCCATCATTTGCTGGAGTTCGTCAAAGTTTTCAGCCTTCAATATTTCACACTGGAGAATCGTTTCCGTGAGGAGTAACACCAGTGCGCTGTGCATTTCATCTTGGCGGCGCAACCATTCCTCGAGCTCGTCGTTGTAGATGGACTCTGTCACGTCGGTAGCGCGGATCGAGTTCATGGGCGCTTCCGGCAGCTTTAGATGGCGTGCCGCCCCATCTTTTTCATCATGGCCTTCTTCAAACACGCGCTGGTTGTCGCGGAACTGCTTGGCAGAGGTGGGAGAGGTCACAGTCTTCGGATTCGATCGAAAGAATAGCTCCATGGGGCGCGGTGTCGCGAGCAAAATGTCCTTCACTTGGTCGCATGGAAGCATTTCGACGTCGTGTGAATTGATAAAGACCAAAACGTCCCCGAGACGAGCGTTGCCGATACCCGTCGTAAAGCACTGCGCCGACTGCTCCAAGCTCGAAATTTGGAATCCGCGGCGGTTCTTGGTAAAGTTGTTGAGCGAAATACCGAGGTCTCCGTGAGTCCACTTGACAGAGTAGTCGTATCGCTTGTGCTGCAGCGGTGCCAAGGACCCGGACTTCTCGGACCCCAAAGGACCTGCGTCCAGGCGAATGCGAGGCACCATTGGCTTGCCTTGACGACTTCGAGGGATTATGGGCGTCTTGAAACTTTCACTGAAGCTGAACGACTGTCGCTCTTTGCCGTGAAACTCGTCGTGTATCGATATTGGATGGCGGAACGGCGCGGTCGTCGAGTCGAACACGTTTGTCCTCCATGACGGAGTCCGACCAATACTTTCTCTGAAGTGAAACAGATTACCATCGCGCGGAGTAAACGTACTCGCGCGACCCACATCGTTCAGCCACAAACTTTGGCGTGAGTCACCACCACGGCTACTGTCGTCGTCGTATTCGTCTTCGTCGTACGTAGAATCGGACTGATTGCTCATCGGACTCGACGTTGTTTTCAGGGATTCGTAGATCTTTGTGTTAGTCTCCATCAGAGACACCATTTCCTTCATGCGGCAGACCAGTTCAGGCAAACTGGCCGAGAACTCTTCGATCGTCGGACTGATGTTGTCGTCATCGTGCAGCTGGTTGTCCCCTGAGAGCACTTCCACCGACATGACGGGCTTCAATTTCGAAAGCGTGTCTTTCATCTCTCCAGAGAGTCGATCAATTACTTGATCCACGCTCTCCATCGAGTCCACGCCGCGCCCCAATGTCACGTTCTACGACCGCGAGCGTCGACAACTCAGGCGGGTTAATCTCGGCGCAAAAACCGCACGGTTGAATTTCGAACCGGAAACGCATGGGGGGGTGCTGAAAAACGAGTTGTCTCTCTTAAATTCGTCCTTACTATTCATTCAAATATTGTATGTCTAGAGTGAGATGAAATACAGGTAGCATGACATTTTGCATATATTTGAGATTAATGTATCGACTATTTAGTTATGTAAGGTGCATCTTGCATCGAGTGGGCTGCAGTACCCAGCGTTGTCAAAGTAAAATATGTGGATTGCCTATAAATTTTATATTTGGCCCGATCGCGCCAGGGTGTATTTCAAGAAAATGTAGATGGGGGGGCATATTGTTACCTCCTTCCGATATTACGAAAATCTCGGAAATTAGCTGTTCAATAGTTGCGTTCGGTTTCACACATCTTTCCAAGTTCCGAGGGCTCATTACCTAGCCCACGCAACGCAAGACATCGTGCTGCCCACGCACGAAGATTCTCTTGGATTGAGCGAAGTGTTCAGCATAGAAATAACGCAACAAACCCTTGCTTGTTGGGTTATGGCACTAGGCATCCAACCTCGCATTGTTGCAACTCGACCTGGTAAGGTCTTACAAAGGTTTTGGAAGTGTGTAGATCCAATCTGTCCAGTGAATGTCAGGTACCCGACAAGAGGGGAAATCGAGATCGCGTAGAGAAACGGCCCTCAAAGGCCTTCACATCTTCACCACTGAAATCCACGGACCTTTGGTCGCATTCTAGAGCCACCTTTCGGTTGGTTCAGTGGGTCTCGAGCAAGCTCTCGTAATTTTAATGCATGTTTTGTTAACCTTTGACGTAATACACCATGCTGTCGTGACAGAAAACAGAGCAGCGTCAGAACTGATACTGCGTGTAGGAGGTAGGGTTGCTGCTTCGCGTTCTTTATATGGTGACGACTGACCGAGCTAGCCGCGGCCCGAGCATCGTCCTCTGTCCAATGTTTCCCAAACAAGAAATGACACCACCGTCGTTCCATGAGAACCACGCTGACGGAATCGAACGTATATTGAAACGTTACTTTCGCCCAGTGGCTAATTCTAAACTTAGTCCATTTGATTGGCCTAAATTCATTCACTGAAACGATGTGGTGAGCTCACAGACGAATAGTCCACGACGACTGTCCAGTAAATAGTACGAAATCATCACTGAAGTCCCTACAATGCTGTCAGGAGAGTCCACCACCCCTAGCGAATGTAATGTGCGAGTCATCCTGCGACGGACTCCACCAAACTCACATACTACTTAGTATCTCCTTGACATGTGCATTTTTCAACCAATAAAACGAACTCAAGTACAGAAAGAACAGTATTTTGTCCAATCATACGTTGGGTAGCAAATGATTGGTAGGGTCGAGTATGCACTCGTGAAACTTGATGCGGCTCCATTTATCAGATTGAGCAAGATATCCAGGAACCTCTCAATACATATATTCTTTGAAAGTACATCCTTGTACAGGACAAACAGTAGCATTATTCAGATGGCATTATTGTATAAACCAATAATTGCGAAGTTTCAATACCAATTCCATTTTAGTCACGAAGGTCGAGGCACGTGTGAACGGGTGGCTGGCGCCAAGATGCCGCGACTGGTGGACATGACCATTTTACAATTTGCCAGTTCCGTGACACCGCTCCGTGCTTCAAATCTCTCAAGTGATTACAAACTTAGATGACGAATCTGAGGAGTCGCATGGACGCTCCTTTCCTAGCGTTCTGCTCGGCTCGGCGTGTCGGTGCGATTCACAAAGTGAAGAGCATTCGAGGCATTTGTATGATGAGATCGACGTGCGCTGCATTATTGAGTGTTCTTCATGTGCCTCCGTGTAGCGCAGGGTTCAAGGATGCTTCAAAATATTTGCTACTCTTGAAAATCAGTGACGACATTCAAATCACCAAGATCGCTGAGAACCCATCATGCATGTGTGTCGAATGAGTGTGTGAAGAAGCTATGACGAACCTGAATAGGGACATCTGCAGCTCGCGTCGTAGTTGACGCAGGCGCTGAAGAAACTTTCAGTGGAATCTCATTACCTGAGCTTCCTTCTTGGGTTGTGTGCATTGTGTTCAGATACGAGTGGTTTGTGCGCAACCAAAGTGTCAAATTCTTACAGACCCGGTGCGGTGGTCCGTCAGGCCGTTTCTTTGGGAGAGCATTCGTTGGATGGGTCGGTGCGCCGTTCTGGCCTGCGGCACGTGGCCTCGGCAGCAGCAATGTTGCTCCAGAACGATGCCGGCCGTCTGCACATCTTCTAGTTTGTTTCGTGCATCCCGAGGATTATATTGGGGGCCAGTGCTTGATCACTCGCTGGCCTTCAGTCGTACTTCGGAAAAGGAACCTGGCAAACCAAAACCAACGAGAGATATTTCGGTTGTTTCTTGTTGACCTGTCTCAATGCTACATCCCATCCATCCTTTGGAGCCGTAGCTAGTTCTCTCGTGCTGTTAACAAAAATTTTGATAACTCGAGGCACCCTGTCGCACGCACACCTCGACTTGGAACATTATGCAGCCACGGGATGCGTTCCACTCGACCGTGAGTTACCAATTTACAACCCGTTAGGAGTCTTCCAAGTAGATTTCTGCCATGAGTTTGCTCTTGCCTAACGTTGCTGGAGATGAAAATTTTTCGTTTGACTTCCCCAACAGTGTAGTGTCAACGGTCGTGCACCAGAGATCAAGAACACTTGGCGCGATGGAGGAAGGATGCAAGGATTTTTAGCACTACGGTGATCATGACAGGGTTTCCGTAGAGCCTGGTCGATGCATGCTACGTCGAAGCGGGCTCAAAAAGTATAGTGTGAAATGGCCATGTCCTTGGCAAACGCAATGTTGAGTTCCTTTTCGCAGTCGCGCTCTGTCTTGCCGATTACGAGTTTCCCGAGAGGTTTCTTCTTCTGCTGAGCTGCGACGGCCGCCGGGTCGTACGTGTACTTGGAGGCCGTCGCTGGAGGAATGCCGACGGGGGTCAATCCAACCTACAAAGGCAATATTCGTATGGGCTGGCGGCGACCACACACAATTCGTACCAACGGCTTTGGAAACGTGTTGGGCATGCAGCCATCTTCGACTCTTACGCACACCGACATGCCTTGCACGTATGAGATCAGACCCTTCTTCTTTGGCGTCTCGAGGGCCACTAGCGCATCAAGCGCTAGGTCGTGCTGCAACAGATCCTGGAGATGTTGACCACGTTACAACTAGCAGCCTTGAAACACAACAGTACCGACCAAACTCAAAGCCCCGGCGAATACTGGCAACTGGAACGACCCTGCCGCAATGCAGTGGGCTTCGTTGAGAAGCTTCAAGTATGTCCAGCCCACTTGATGCGACACCCACGCGCCTTTGACCTGCTTGACGCCACGAACGTCAAACACCACAAGTAGGTCCGTGTTGTGGAATTCGGGGACATCCCGATAGCTCTACGCAAATGGGGTCGGTGAGAGTCGTTCCGTCGCAAGGAATAACGTACGATAAAGCCATCGGAAAACTGGGGATGGGACTGGGCACTTGTCCAGTCGTAGCTGATGGTCATGTGGACATCGTCCGTCATCTTAGGGTCCTGGAATGGCCATGTTAGCAACGTTCGTTTGCATGGACGAGAGAGACGTCGGTGAACTACTTGGTAGAATGGCGCGGGCGGGGAGATGCACGAAATCACTTTGTACAGACAACCGGGGGGAGCGTTGACCAGCCCATCGACAGCCACGCGAAAGCCCATTTCGGGTCGATACGGAAACACCATCGCCAGGTTGTCCAAGAGCGCAGCGGGCGGCTTTTTCTACATGCAAGGCCTTGAACCATGCTAATGACGTTCGCCATAGCGTACATTCAATTGCGATTGAAGCCACGTCGTCAACTTGTCTGGCGAGTCCAAGGTTGCTTTCTCCGTCACGGCCAGCAACACGTCACTCACCAAGCGCAGCGACCGGTGCAGCTAAAAATGCATAGAGTGCTCGCGCACGGACGCCCTTGACAAGGCCATAGATTCGTATGCCGTACCCTTAATTTGTACAACTTGTCTTCCGTGAGCGATGGCCGCGACGAGGTTGAGTCGTAAACCTTTTCGGCATACGCTGGCGCAGGGACGGCAATCCCTCGAGCAGCCCAGTCAGCCTCGGGTACGTCCTTTCGGCTAAGGCACGACAAACCATCCTCTGACTAAAAGCAACGAGAATGGTCAGCGAGGCGGAAGAGCGATGGATGTTCGTACTTTGACCGCTGGACACACACGGACGAGCAATGTGGCGCACGGAAGTTTCATGAACGAGTCGCACGCCTTCGACGTAAAATCGACGCGATCAGTACCGAGGGTCGCTCCCAGTCGCAGTGGCAGCTGGAACGCGCCAGCGTTTAGATGGAATTCCTGGACGGTTGCCTTGGTTGGAGGTGTTGTCGCGGCCCTGTTTTCATCGTGCTCGAGGAAGACGGGCAGGACAGCATAGCCCACAACCATGGCCTGCTTGGATATACTGTGGATGGTGTCGACTCGGCACAAGAGCGTCAGGGTCGGGTTGAATCGATCGCCGCGGAATTCAAGACCCTAAGCATGCAGTGATGGCCAAGGAAACAAGAAGAAGACTATACCAGCTGGAACGATGGCGAGAAAGCATTGTCGTGGAGGGAGGCGAACGCAGAGGGGTCTTGCAGCGGAGGAACATTCCCCATATCGGCGTTCAGCGCAAAGCACGTAACTTTTGTGATCGTGACAATGTCGGGCAAAGATCGCGCCCCGTCCACGTACACGTTGAACCCGTCGCCTCGGCTAAAGAGAGGTCGGTGGCCTGTGCTGCGTGGATTGGAGTACAAATCGCAGTCGATCCATCCTTCGCCGCTTGACACTTCACGTCCGACGTCTGCGTGGAAGCGGCGTCAGTTGTGCATGAAGCAGGGGCATTACGTGGACGACGCGTCGACGACGCTATGGCTTGGCCGTTCGAGTCATGCGGCGTAAGTGTGACAGCGATTGTAGCTTTGACTTGCTTCGCTATGGGCAGCCAACCACGCGATGAGTCCCCCGGTACAGGGTCAAAGTGTTAGCTGATCAAGGAAGGAATCGTACTTGCTGGATGGCACAAGTCGACAATTTGGTCGTCCCAAATGATGGGGACACCCTCCTTGTTCTCCAAAGGCAGCGTGGCGTTGTACGTATCAACGACCCCACCACTTCGTTTATGCAACATCGTTAACAACATAGGTTGGTTGCGAGGGCAGCTCAACCACGGCGCCCTCCACGCCGCCCCTGATGCGACGAGCCCCGTGGAAGGCTCAATTGGCCGGTCCTCCGACGAGTACAACGGCGATGCTCTGGTTGGTGAGGTCAATACTAGTTGAACACAATCTGCGCCAACGTGCATCCATTCCTCGGGACTGGATGGCTGCAGAGACGACAGCACAACCGAGTACAGACTCGCGTCGTTGTCGGGCATCTGTTTGAGAGAGAGTTGAGCGACTCTTGGGGTTTAGAACATGGGAGAAAGGTTCACGAACCGACGGAATCGTGGCAAGGACAGCCATGGCTGTTGGGACTGCGCTTCGCAGGGGGGATTTCGTGGTGGGGGGGGTTGAACTGGTGGCTGGGATGAAGGACGCAACAGGCTGCGGTTTTGATGTTGGTGGTCGTGTGGGGGGAGCTGTGGACTGTGCAGAGCGATGCGGTTCCATCCCTGGCTGGTTGGCCTTTTTCAATGGCTCCACGATGGTTGCAGGCGAAGGCGACGTTGGATTCGATGGTGCTGCACTTGGTGTCTGGTATTTACCTGCAGAGAACACGCATGAGCAATGGTCCGCGTGTGTCATGCGTACTGGCCGTCAAGTCGGGATTGACGGGGTATTTCGCCGCGTCGTCGGCATGGCCAGCATGCACGACGCGAAGGTACAGCGTCGTGGCATCTGTCAACGATGACGAGTCCGGTTTTTGTATGGGTCCCCTCGTCATCTGAGGCATAGGCGAATGGCTCAATGGTAATTTGAAGCGCCCTTCGTGCAGCTGAGGTGCCGACCCCTCCGACGGCGCAAACAGATCCAACATGGTCCAACCCAAGCTCACTGGCTTGCCGTCGGTGGGCATGACGGCCACCTACATCACGATCGCAACGTGATTGAACTTGCATATTGGGAGCAACTCAAGTGCTTGTGGTCATAGTGTACCTCTATGAGGAGCCGAACGTCCTGGGAGGCTGGCAGATGGTCAAATGCTCGACTCGACGCCAACACACACCGATTCACGGTGGGGCCGTACGGCTCGCATTCGCGCCCTCGCAGGACCTTGTGCTTTGTCCGTAGGATCTCGCCTTCGTACACAGCGTACGTCACCTGCAAATCGTTTCCCAGGCGTGAGTAAACAACGAATGGTCGGCGTTGGCTGACCTGCAAGAAGGTTGCTTTGAGTGGCACGAGCAGGATGTAATCCCAAAACACAGTAAAGCCCACGTCTGGGTCGTACGGCAAAGGCAACCCGATGGAATCCATGTCGTCGGTCATCAAAGACGCAGTGAGTGGCTGTTCTTGTGCGAGCATCTTCTTCATCCGAAGCGCCATGACCATCCGATTTTGATTTGCCATCCACTCGTCTTGAGCGAGCTGCTCCTCCATGTCCCTTCGCCGTTTGTCGCGTTGCTCTTTCAAGTCTTGCAGCTACAAAGTCCCATCACAGTCCACTTAGAGCTGTGCTTGCCGTCTTGACACGTACGCGCTCCTCCTCTTCCATGAGATCTCGCTGCTGCTTGAGCTTGAGCATGTCCTCTGCATGCTTGAGTTTCAATGCCTTGAGCTCTTTCGACTCAAATTCATCTGCGGCATCTGGCGCCTTTTGAGCTAGATCCGTGCTTGACGACTGCGCCGACATCGATTCGCCGTGGTTCGGGGCCACGTTGCAGGCGTTGTTGCTGCCCGCACCGGGCAACTTGGCCTGTAGTCAGGACTCACATCAGTTGAGTGGATCATGACACCCTCGTCTACACGTCATAGCCGTACTTGAATGCTCTGAATCATTTGCTGAAAGCGCAAGGTTTCCATTTCAACCTCGCGTTGGTCCTTGAGCAGCTTCATCGCGTCCAGTTGTTGCTGGAGCTTCACTGTCTCGGGGTCAGGCGGGGGCTCAAACAAACCAGAGTTCGGCATCATCATGTTTGGCATCACGTAAGGCGGCGGGTGAATGGGCATGGCGTACGGCGCCCCCATCATCGGAGGGGGGTACCCACCGCCCACGATGGCTGCACCAGTTGCAGCAAATCCAGTGTACCCATTGTAGTACGGCATTGGAGGTTGATACATCCCGTAGTAGGCGGGAGGTGGTGTGTAGTACGAAAATTGCCCTCCGTGTGGAGGAAGGTATGTTGTATTGGGAGGGGGCCACATCGGCGGCGCCATTTGCGGCATGGCGTGGGGGGGCTCAGGATATGTCGACGTTGCCATGGGCGGCGGGGCATACGGGGCGCCAGAGTTCGCAGGGTTGGGAGAAGGGGGAGCTGGGGACTGTCGCGGCGTTGACTGTTTTGACTGCTTGAAAGCGTGATCGCTTTGTTTCCGATGGAGCACTTCTCGTTCCAAAGAGTCCATGATTGTAGTCGGAGCAAGTGTGTCAGAGGCTTGCAATGGCTCCTGCACGGGACTTGTGCCACCTCCTTCTGGCATAGTCTCCGGACACATTTTTGCGGGGGATGATGGCACTTGCTTGATAGCGCCGCGTGTGTCATTCGAGGAAGGGACGGAGACGTCGGGAATAGCATCATCACTCGTCAAGCTAGTCCCTGTGACACTGGCGCTGGGTGGGAGCTTGGATGAACTCTCCAGTTCCAAGATGGATGCGGCTTGGGACTTCACGTCGGCTTCAAATTTCATCTCGAGCTCATCTAGTCGACGCTTCTCTGCATCGTAATTGAACGATTTCGTAACCATGTGGACGTTTGTTTCGTCAGTTTGGTTGTCTCCTCCTACGGCATACCCCGTCGTGAATGAATCGTTGTGATGCGATCAACTTTACGTGGTTTCTCTGTGTGAAGGTGGATCAGATCGTGCTTGATCTTTGCTTGCAGCTGCTGCAGCTCCAGTCGCTTTCGCTCCAGCAACGCCGCTTTTGCTCCAAACGATTGACTCCTCTGCATGTGGGTGGCTCGCAGCGCTCGCAGGCGGGCATCTCCTTTCGCCCCATCGTCCAACCGCTGAATCGCCGCTTGGACTTGCTGTTCTTCCGCGCGGTGCTGCATTTCCTACGGGACCAACTTTGTGTGAGGTTGAAATGATCCACGTAGTCGTTCCTGCTACCTGCTCCTTGACCCGCATCTCCATAGCTTGAATTTCTTGCAAAGCAGCTTGCTCTTTCTGAGCTAAGATTTCTCGTTGCTTGACAAGCTCGGCCAACTCGCGCTTGCGCTCGTCCTCGAGATGCGCCATGCCAACCTTCGTCCACGGAGTCATTCCTTTTAACCCAACATTTGTGAATTATCGCCGCACCGTGTCCAACTGGCGCAGCTCCGCCTTGACTTGTTCGCGCTGTGCACGTGCTTTGAGTTCTTCAAGTTGACGCCGTTCGATTTCTTTCATGAGGGCCACAACTTCGTCCTCTTCCTACCGTCGACATACTGCATTTTCACATAACAGCCACGGCAATCCGAACCTGCTTCTTCTGGAGGAACACTTTTTGCTGCTTGAGCTTGAGCGCTCTGAGCTCGTCGGCCTTTTCCTTCTCGCGCTCGTTCTTCACATGCCGCCTGGGAAGCACCACGTCATAGTGCCATGCGTCAGATGCTGCATCAAGCACCTCAGTTTTTCCATTTCCATGTCGTTCGCTTGCAAAGTCGACTTGAGATCGAGCAGCGAAACTTTGCCGAGGAAAGTGTCGACGCCACCACCACCATCGCCTCTGCTGCCCCCGCCACCACTCAGGTACTGCTGCACCCTTGCAAATGACATGGTCGCCGCATACACCTTGCCTGTCGTTGCATTGTTGTCGTCTGCGGTGGTTGTTGCGAGGAGGTGCTGCTGCAGCTTGACCGGGTCAAAGTACTCGCTTTGGACGCAAAACTACGCCACGCGAGCCTCCATCACGTCCTCGAACTCGACCATCCGAGCAATCTCACCTTTGCCTTGTGGTTGGCGTAGTCAGCCGACGACTCGAACGACATGCAGCAGTCCCTGCGCCACAACCACTTCACGCAACAATACCTTTCATGCACGGAACGTACGCGCAATGGTTGGGTTGACAGGACGGCAGCAACGCCATCGAATCGCTTGGAGTGTCGACTTCGTGAGGCTGACTTGACGGTGCCTCAACGCCCTTGGTCGAAAACATGCCAACAAAGGGACGGGTCCATGCTCGAGTTGCTCGAAACAGACGAGTTTGGTGACACTTGGACGTTTCACGCCAAAGGGTCACTCATGGAGATCATCGCACTGCACTTGGACGTTGCTATAGCTAGCGCATCGATTTGGTGCATGGGGCTTGTCGACGAGAAGAATGGGAATGGAAAGAGTACGTTACAATTATGCAAAGCAATCCACGTTAGATTTGGATTTCCAGCAGCGCGAGACCGATCAAGCAGTAGAGCGTGAGGAGAATGGATCCTTCGAGCCAGTTGGAGCTGCCATCGGCCACAATCACGTACACAATGAGCGTCGAGAAGATGTACGTCATGGCTTCAAAGCTGTTGAACGCCAACGTCATGGGTTGGTTCATGATCCAGCCGGCAATGACGCACACGGGCGTGACAAAGAGCGCAATTTGCGTCGCCGACCCGACGGCGACACCCATGGCGAGCTCCATGTTGTCCTTGTACGCGACGCGGAGGGCGGTGACGTGTTCGACAGCGTTCCCCACAATCGGAAGCAAGATGAGGCCGACAAAAGCCTTGGGGATGTTGGCTGATGTGGTAAAACCGTCGACCGACCCTACAAGGAACTCGGAAAAGATGGCCACGAGCACAGTCGCGACGAGGAGCACAATCAAGGAGGACGCGAACGAGAGCTCGGGCAACTCATGTTCTTCTTTCTTTTCTTCTTCGGCGCGATGCGTGACCAGTTGGTACACCATCAGCTGCACGTACATGATCACGAGAAAGATCGCCGAAATGTGACTCAGATTCAAGACGGCGGCGGCATGGTCGGCTTTGGATTCGTTGGCGACGATGCTGTCGAGGTAGTACGACGGCACAAGCATGGCGAACGATCCGACGAACAAGAGCGACATGTTGATGGACGCACCGTCGCCAGAAAACTTGGAGTTCTTTACACCACCGAAATGACCCGCAAGGAAGCACATGCCGAGGACCAAGAGTAAGTTGGACAACATGGACCCGATCAACGAGCTCTGCACAAGCTGGATTTCACCCTTGGCCAAGGCAAAGATCGAGATGATGATTTCGACGGCGTTCCCGAACGTCGCGTTCACCAAACCGCCGATAGTGTCGCCGGTATGTTCAGCCAGGGCTTCCGTCGCTTCACCCAAGATGTTGGCGAGGGGCATCATAACGAGAAAGTTGAGAACAAATACCCACACGTCGGGCCAATGGTTCACATGGGCCACGATCGCCACAGGGGCCAAGAGCAAGAGTAAGTTGATCCAACTGCCAACAAAGAGGTTGCCGATGGCCCGAAGTTGAGTCGGACGAGGAGCCTCGTGGTTCTCGGTCACGGGAAGGTCCGACGGAGTCTTGGCGGTCTTGGTGTCGACTCCTGTCATCTTGGCGTCAAGTTAAAAAGTGCGGCGTTTGGAGTGGGGCGGGGGAGAAGAGGCGGGACAGAGGGCGGAAAATGATCCATACTTTAAAGAAGACAAAATTGAGTCGATGCAAGGATTGTTTGGCGCACGGTCGTGCCGAGACTGGCGCGTTGAATCCTCTACAGCCGATAAATTCGCGCTTCTGGAATCGCCACGATATGGAAGCTGCAGAACCAAGTGTGCACATTCATCTGCATTGCAGAGCGCCAGTCATGCAGCACCGAGCTGTCTATCCAGTGGAGGAGACTATGGACTAGATGGTCTTGTATGTGGTTGTGTGGCCTATCCTCCTCTGCGCTCCCATTGGGAAATCCTGGGTTGTCGTGGGGTTGTATGAGGAATTCAGCGAGCGTAGACCATCCGCTGGACAGCGACAGCCAGCGCACCGGGCGACCTTGTAGGATAACGAATGCTCACAACGTGCGACGCTGGAAATGGCAAGGTTCATGCGATGGCTGCGGTGGGACTGTGAGCACTGGTTGTTTCAAGGCGTGTCTTGCCACGACGTTGTTGTTCCCTGCAATTGAACTTTGGGATTCATTGGGATTTATCCGAATTGGGACCGTGGTCTTTTTGGACTGTATGAGGTGGTGAACCGTGGCACTAAATCTTGCGCACCAGAAATGTCCGAACTTGCCGCAATCCTCGCTCGTCGGCGCGCAAGGGACGGGACGGGAGAAGAGCCTCCAAAGGAGCCTACCCCCGCGATTGCATCGTCAGCTCCAAGCTTCACGCGGCCGTCTCCCCCCAAACCTTTTCAGCCCAAAACATTTTCCCACGGGTTTCCCGGAAACGCAGCACCCACCACACCGGCAGTAAACGAGGAGTCGTCAACGGCCTTGCCTAGTACGCCGTCGGACCCTCCTGCTGACTCACCACCTGCATCGGCGGGAAGTTTCGGCGATAATGCGTCTCCACCGCTGCGTAAGACGTCTTCCAAGATTGCTGCACTTCAAGGAAACTTGGGCGCTATCAACCTGAATGCGTTCCGTCCGCCACCTGCGCGTAAGTCCAATACAGTCAGTACCATAAGTACAGGGGAAGACTACGACTATGAAAGCACGATGAAGACTGGAGTCTCTGTTCCTGGGATGAGCGGTGGTATTCCTATGATCGGGCTTACGCGGCCCGGTATTGCGTTACCAGGTTTGGCGGCAAAGGAAGCAGCCTCGACGGAGGCCTCGCCTGCGCCGGAAGAAGAACCAGCCGCTGTCTCTCACGTACGCTCTCATGTTGATCTCCTCCATGCTTACGTATGATTTAGGCTACGTTGTCGCGCGCGACTGGCCCAAAGCGTCGTGCTCCCACGAAACCTAAAACTTCCACAGATACAGGCGCAACGGCTTCGTCCGACGCAGCAGTGTCTAATGATGAAGAAGAGCCCCTCTTTCCAATATCAGCAAGCCCTCACGCGCCTGTTGATACTCCAGCGACTCAAGTCGTTACAGAAGACTCCGCCGCAGCGAAAACTGTTTCGGCACCGTCCCCATCGCATGCGCCAGCATTAACCGAACAGCGCCGTCCTTCCATGGGTCTCTTCGGGGCTCTTCCCAGCCAACCTGCTTCGTTGTCTGAGCCATCTCCTTCCAAGCACCCCAGCAGCGGCCCTATCTCGTCGTCCTTGTTCGGTGCCCCACCTCCTGTCGAAAAACAATCATCCGGGTCGTCGTTGTTTGACCCCCCTCCACCTCCAGCTGCCACGCCATCCTACACCAGTGAACGGCCACCAGCATCATCCAAGGAGCAACTCAGCACGGTGACGGCTCCCGCCGTGTCCCAACGAGCCTCGGCATCGTTGTTTGGCGATGCCGACGATGACGATGCGTCTTCAGATGAGTGGGATGACGACAATCCCAAGTCGAGCCTCTTCGGTGGTCCAGCCAAACTGTCGCCGCCTCCCGTTGTGGCACAGATGGCGCCTTCGTCGTCGATCCCGAAGAAACCCGTGTCCAATTTGTTTGGCGCCAGCGATAGCGACAGTGACGACGACGCGGAAGGCCTCTTTGGCACGGGACTGCCCACAAAGTAGTCCTCGACTGGTTAACCTGGATGAACACGGAAAAAAGGTGCTTTGTAACATGAACACGTGGGCGCCGGCTAGCGATACATTGAACAAATTGGGTTTACCATGAGTACACACGCCAGTACTCGAAAACTTTTCAAACTAGCAAAAACTCACCAACTTAACCAGAACTAGAAGAATAGGAGGACAAGTTGGCTTCACGGCATCACCATGGCTGAGATGGGGCAAGAGTGTGCACGTTAACAAAGACGAGCTTGGACGCCACTGATGTGCGACCGAGGCGACCGTAAAAGTACGCTTTCGTGCCACCGCCGACGCCACTAGCTCCCACGCGATCGATCCAGGCACTGATTGCGTCGTACCCGACCGTCGAAGTTGGATGCAGAAACGTCTTGCGAGATCGGTCTTTGTTGTACATTAGCATGGGCAGCTTTTCGTCGTTTCCGTCGGTGGCCATGGCTTTCTGGATCTTGTAGATCTCACCCAATGCACCCGTGGATGACCCCGCGGTAGTTGCTTCGGTCATGCGAATCACGGCTTGGTGGGGATGCGACGACACTTGCATGGCCGGGACGTCGAGAGGCACAGCAGCCCAATGCGAGTCGTCGTCTTCTTGGGCAGAGGATGAGGCAGGTGGTGCTGTATAAACCTGAGACTTGGAATCACCACCCACTGTCATCAAAGACACGGGTGCAGTCGTGGAATTGTCTCCACTTGACGCAGACAAGTCACCCGTTAATCCAAGTTTCTTGAGGTACTTCTTCACACGCGCCACAGGCACGGTGGCGAACTTGCCTTCATGCGAGAGCACTTGTGAGTGCACCTGCTTGACCGTGAACTCCGGGTGCGCAAACTTGATGGCTTGCACGAGCGCCGTCAGCTCTTCCACCGATACGGCCTCGTCGCAAGACATGGAAAATACCAACTGCAGTTGTATCGGCTAATTAGTTTCGATTTTATCCAATCATTTCATACAATGTGTTTTCTATTTTCTTTGCAATAAATACCATTCAGCCAATTAAATTTGTCCAAATTACGTTTTGTACGAAATATCCAGCCAGTCAGAATGCGAAGTTTATGCAGTATATCCTCGACCGCACACTATAAGGTGGTTTTGTCGATTGCATGAGCATTGCGCAACAAAATTGAAGGTTGCGACGTTTGCAGTAGTCGCTCGAGTCTAGTCAGTTGGCATCTCTACTCTTGTAGCCGGTTTAGTTCTTCGCACGTGGGCAGCGGCACTGCCAACGCCTTCTTCACTGCACTTTCACGCTCGTCGGCGTTCTTGTGGTTGCGCGCTTTGTTGATACGCCGCTTTTGCTTGAGCCGCTCGCCTTCGCACCCTTCTCGTAGCTTTTGAACATGCCACGACTCCACCATTTTCTCGACGCGCATGAGGTCTCGCCAGTCATTTGTATATCTCCTCTCAAAGTCGCGCGCGACGTAGTACGGAATACCGTTGATCACGTTGCGCATGCGGGTCGTGCGCTGCACGGGCATGTCTTGCGTGGGGTTCAAACTGAGTGACATATACCGCATGAGCTGCCAACTATCATCACATGACGGAATAGATACCTGAACGGAGGAGACTGGTTGCCCGGAAACGAGAACAGCGACAAACACAGCACCAAAATGAGCGGCAAAAATTGTAAAAATTGCTGCATCGGCGTTCGGGGGGTTTCGTTTGCCTGACGCTGCTGTTGCTGTCGCTGATATTGCTGGCGGTGCTGGCGTTGTCTGGGAATACCGCCCCCAAAGAACATGTTGAAAATGTCTTCGGGGCTGATGTCGTCGTCATTGTAGCCACCATGGTGCTGTCGCGTTCGCTGCCGATTGCCACTATTGGACTCGCCCGGAGCGTTGTCGCCAAAACGATCGTAATCTGCTCGCTTTTGGTCGTCGCTGAGAATAGTAAATGCCTTCCCCACGGCCTTGAACGCGTCCTCGGCACCTGGCGCACTGTTCTTGTCAGGATGCAGCTTCAGCGCGAGTTTACGATACGCCTTCTTGATATCGTTTTCATCTGCATTGGTTGCTACGCCAAGGACGTCGTAGTGTGTCTTGCACATTTTGATTTTGCGGACTATTCGGACTTGCTCTTCTGTGTATGGTCGTGTGTCTTCTGGCTGGGACGCAGTAGTTGACGACGAGGACGGCGATGCAGCAGGTGCTGCGCGCGCAGTACTGGACGAACTGGACGACGACGAGGGAGCCTCCTGCTGTTGTGCAGACTCCGCCGACCTCGCGCGTAAGGCTTCTGCCCCAGGCAATGGAAACAATCGAATGGACTTGTCAAACCATTTGACGGCTTGGCGATAGTTGCCAGCACGTAGATGCTTCTTTCCCAGCTCCATGCACTTCTCCGCCTCCCCACGATTCATCTCCATCTTGAGAACGAACCCTCCGTCGACGTCGTCGTCGCCACAACGCAGTGGGCTTGACTTTGGCAGCACTTGTGTGAGACCATTGATGATTCGTCACACTAATTAAAGGTCACTATAACCACGTGGCTGCACGAAATGTCTTGCAATTTGTATGACCCATGAAATATCCTATTCGACATATAACCGTGTAAATATTCCTCGAACTTCGAATAATATGGAAATTCTTAGTTCGGATGATCTCGTGCCCTCAAACTCCCTTCCTTCTCGATGCACTTTCCTAGCTCAGTACTTTATGAACTCGTCGGAGGCAAATTGAGATGTCAGCGACGAGTCCCGCGGTCAATTTTTCCACACAAGCTAGCGGGCAAGGTGGAATTTGTCTGCCAACAAAAAATATGACCATTAGAGCGTATACTTCCTCTGTTCCATTTTACTGGCGCCATTTGAAAATCACACTTTTTTTTAAATTACTGGCGACATTTCATTCTTATTGGCTAGAAATGATGCATACATCGATTTTATTGGATAAAATTCCCGAGTTTGCTGGACAATCGGCACTTGGGATGACCGACAGCGGCTCACCGCCGCGTAGCTGCTTCGATAGAGCTGTGGATATGCGCTTCCTAGAGGAAACGCTGCGGGATGCGATAAGCAATTAGCAATTAGTGACTAGGCTTGTGCTCAAACGGCATTTCATTCTTATCCGGATTCCCGGAAATAGACAGTCCACATATTATAATTCTAGTAACTCACATTTTGTATTTTTATTCAGAAACAAGTTGACGAATTTGTTTTTTGGGCCGAAGATATCATTTTCGGTCGTTTTGTCCAATAGAAACTTTGTTAAGAATTCCTTGATACATCATTGGGGCTTTGATTCGTCAATTTTGACCAAAAATTCAGTTTTTGGGGTCACCGTAAAGTCAAATGTCGGCACTAATATGGAACAGAGGTAGTCTATCTAAAAAAGCTTGTATTATACTACCTCCGGCCCGAAATAAACCCGCCACAACGGGAAATTGCAAATATTTTCAACAATTTTTCGAAGTTGAAAAATCCAGAAATAGTCGGTTAAAGTGCTCAATCCTGCGAATCTAATTGGCCCAATCAATGAAAAATAAACTCTGATTTCATCAAAGCAGAATGTTTTCAAGATTTCATATTGACTGTGAATTCAAGATAAAATCATACGGATACAGATCAATTATCCGAATAAATAGAATGATGATCGTTTTGAGCGGCAAAACTTGCATGGCGCGATTCCCATGAAAGATCTGACGTCTGACCAACGCCGGGCAGTAGTGGACCACCTCCACTTGCCTGTGGTGAAGCAACCGTGCCAGCTCCAACGTGGTACTATAAAGGAAGTAGCTCGCATCTTCGGCCGCAATCGGCACACCATTGGCGAGACCTGGAAGCGTGCGAATGCGTCGTTGGGCGCAGAGGACCTTCTTGCGCGAGAAGTCGTCTGCAATGACATGTCGAGCAAAACAAAAGGACGTGCTGGGCGCAAGCAAAAATACACTGACTTGCCAGCCCGCATTCAGGCCGTACCAGCAGCCCAGCGTTCGACCCTGCAATACATTGCCCAC